TGATAAAAGGAACTGCAAATTTGGTTGTCCAATATTAAATTTCAGTGTACGTCTGTGTCTATCAGAATTAGACATTAACTGCCTAATGTTCACACTCAAGTTTGATGTAACTATTGGTGTGTTCTACAGTACATCATGCGGTTTATCAAATCTTAAGCATTTACCTTAATCGGACACGTGATTTATTTGGCCGCCTAGCACTGCCCAGACGCCTAGAGCAGACGTTGAGGGGGACGCATCCAAATGTGTTGAACTAGTCTAGTAACATTTTTAAAGAAAACATCTCTATCTGGCATTTGGTGAGACAAAAGTTTCCAGCAACCGAAATTTAGGACATTAAACATGGCTTTTTCCAGTTTGCATCTTGACCGAGCCCATGTCAACGGAATCGTACAGAAACCCTTCTTTTCATTTCAATGCGCGTCTATGAAATGTTAATAGGTATATTGTAATGATCTCTTTGGTTGTTCTTTTTTTTAGTGGCAAGGCGCTACTATAGTAACCAGCCAAGTTGTTGAATGAGCGTGATAAATCCTTTGTAGTTTGGAAACTATTTGTGGGCAATAATCGTTTCTATGCTTGTAACTCACCATGGTAGTGGATGACCTTGCACTTCAGGATTAACCAGTTGTCATCCGGTTGGATACTGTTCTGCAGGTGCGAATCCTCAATGTACCTAGGATAGACACAGAGTTCCTTACTCACAATTCAATTTCTAGATGCAATTAGAACCTGCCTCCTGCTTGGTGTGCCAATAAATGCGAACTGTTTGTTAGTTAGCTAAACAGTATATAAAAGTTAAGGAATTAAAATACATATTCACGTGAACGTATTTGGCAATCGAGCGACTACCACACTGTTAACACAATCAAGGATAATACAATTACAGCCAACATTCTTAATCGAAACTTATTTATGTTCATGAACAACCATTGAGCACACAAATATTCTTATGTCGCTCAAAGGGAATGGTTCATCGAGGTAATCACGTAGGTCTGTGAAAGGTCTAGATTTGATTGACCCATTTTACCCTACGTCCGTTACAAAGCCAGACTTTCCTTGTGCTAGTATAACATCATCTGGCTTAAATGAAGTTATTCTATTATTCCTAAGCACAATTACTTGTTTCCTTAGGTCTGACTTAACGATTGTTTGAATCGCAGTAGCCGATATGCTGGCTTGAAGCCTAATAGACATATGTTCTCTGCATAAAGCTCCTCGGCTTGGTTACAGCGGAATCACTGAACACTGGCTTCTTAATCTACCTCAAATGAGAATGAGGAAAAGAATCCAAAGCTCAATGTGAACCAACGTCATCGGACAGGTTCTTCAACAAGTACACATCATAAACTGTTTCCCAGTCAATTGCATTGTAGAATGATGGTTTACTTCGTTATTAGTACTATTATAATAATAGACCTAATCGTGAAATTTGCATCGTTGTCTATTCTGACTCGTCGTATCGTAAAAATCCGCGATATAACGATCGGCGTTTGTAAAGAACACATCTAAGCTAAAGATAGGGTAGTATATTTAATGTGAGTAAAGACAAGTTATACAGAATGACTACATCTGCAAGGCTGAGCCATGTGTTCTGATTGAAGTTAATCGAATTAAATATTCACGCCTTCACCATTTTCGACCTTCTCTCCGTGTTAATTCTTGAATATCTATTTTCCCAGTTATCTCGTGCTGGTTAGGACCAATGCCAATACAACACCACTTACATTCCTCGAGAAAATTAAGCGACTCAATTCTGAACGATCCCATCGCTCTATTATGTAACTCTGGATGAGCTGACGAATAAGTCGCTAATGCTAAACGCTTAAACGTAAGGTACGAAGGTTATGGTAAACAATGTTAAAGAATTACGAGGCCTAAATACAAGAGAAACAATCGACGCTCTATCGCTTTCCATACTAAGGCGAAGTCTAATGTTCGACATTTACACTGAAAGTCGGGAGGAATACTTGGTACATGGCTTGATATCAACTTATTTATATCCCTAATTACGTATTTGTTTATGTTTCTTAGTCTTTCATGAAAAAAGCTACCAATATATTGACCAGTTTCTTCATCATACCTAAGTAAAGCATGTGGATTGGATCTAAAGAAAAAGTCGAGATCATATTAATGCCAAGTGTTCCGAAATTGGAATGGCTTTGATGGTGAGTGTATTGAATCTACTGACTAAAACTACCATCATTTATCAATGTGTATTCACCATATGGAAAGGTCGCCTGTCCGTAAAGGCGATGTTCCACTACAACACGCCTAACTCAACCTGTTATTAACAGTGTATCTAAAATCTGAACGAGCAGGTGCGTCACATATTACAGTTACTAGTTTGATAGCTATGTAGTTGTTGGACATAATAATGGTCAGAACTACGTCTCTCAATTATTTTAGCCCCGAAATGGTATCCGCGGATATCTCCTTGGATTCTGCCGGTCTATTGTTCCCTCCATGGACAGCTATAATGATCACGTCAATAAACCCAGGGACAACGATGCATCCTACTATAGTCCATAAATGTTGACTGGACCTCTTTGAAGTAAAAATCACATCCAAAATGATGTTCGAATTCAACGTATCTAGATCACAAAAATAGAAATAAGGTTCAACATATATTAGCCGACTGGTTTTCAATCCGAGACAGTAGTAAAGCTTACTTCTAATGAACTTCGGTTGGATACTTGTGCACATCCGCACGACACTGATGCTACTAGGTAAGTCAGGAACAAGATCTCAAAGCGCATTCAGAAGGCGATCGGCATCTTAGATGATTCGACGGCCATTTGCCACAAAATTCATCAAAGCCATTTTGACCCGTTCTTTCCTGTTTAAGGAAGTTTGCGAACACAAGCAAACGTCATTACATCCTATAAGAAATGAATGAACGCGTTCACTTTTTTCGCGCACCATTATCATCCAGCGGCCTTTCATTGTTGCGGCTACCGGAGGCAATCACAGTTTACAGATCCTCATTACAATTAAATTCAGTGTTAACTGCTAATAATCCGAAATAGATCACAGATAAAGACAAATACTGTAGATCATACTTTCATCAGCAACCTGACTATGTTTTTTCATGAAGGTGGTTCGTATTTTGTTCCACCTTCGGTTGTATGTCGATCTGTGACAACCAAGGACGCTTGGCATGTTCACTGTTGCCCTACGTCTAGGAACAATCTCAAGGATTGTTACTGCACTCATCTTAAAGGACAAACGGGGATATCAGTGATAATGCACACGAACACGCACAGAGCGCACCACTTACTTGCATGTCGCGAGCTACTTGTGATTGCCACCAGGGATGCCCGAACAATCTGGTCAAGTAAACACCATCTCAGGAAATTTCCCGTCTCCATATTTAGATATGTTTTAATGAAAAGTGCTCTCATTTTTCATTAAACAGTATGTCGTTTTGTAGAGGTTTATGAAAAAGTAAGTACAGAAACAAGAATGATCAAACGGGGTACTTTATATATGTTTGCTAATTAATATAGATATATCAGAATCCAGACCATGTGGGAGGACCAATAAAATAGTTATGAAAATCAGGAAAAAAAGCTCAGTGGTTCTCGTAATAAATGATACCCCTTGGATCCAAGCTGGACAGAAGGGATTATCTTCGGGAGAAGTGCTGTTGTACTCCGGCCATCAAGGAGAAATGCTTGGCACACACAAGTATTTGTACTGATAGTGTTCAAAGAAACACGAAAAGTGCTTATAGGATGGGAATTTCATGAACATAGAATCATCAAAGTATCTTACAAAACAAAGAAGGAGGGGATCACAGTGAATGTTATCCAGTGCTATGCACCTACAAATGATGGCACTGAGGATGATAAAGACCAGTTTATAAGAGGTTCCAGTCGATCACAGAGAAGTGTCCAGGGAACGGCCTGACCATCCTGATGGGAGACCTAAATGCCAAAGTCGGATTGGATGACACCGGATATGAAGACATCATGGGACGACATTGACTAGGAGGAACAAACGAAAATGGTGAGATGCGCAAACCTATGTGCCTTCAATAAACTGATCATAGGCGGCACTATATTTCCATATAAACGCATACGCAAAGCCTCATGGACTTCATCGGATCACACTACACAGAACCAAATCTGCATCAACAAGAAGTTCAGGAGGACGATGGAGGATGTGAAAACCAAGAGTGGGGTTGATATAGCCTCAGATCATCACTCACTGGTCGCCAAGATCAAATCGAAACCCGAGAAACACTGGAGAACGGGGCGGACATCATCACAAAGGTTTATTACGGCTTTTCTTCGGGATACTGACAGACTCAACGAATTCAGGATGGCCCTCAGCAAAGGGTTCTAGGCCACAAGAAACACCATCAAAAGGAATGGCTCACTGTTGATACACTGGATATGATTCAAGAAAGGAGGAATAAGAAGGCAGAAATCAATATATCAGCCGAACAAAAGCAGAGAAAGCTAAGGTATAAACTGAATACGCAAAATACTTCGGATCCGTTGGCCAGATACTACCTACTGTAGGAGAGGAAAAACAAGATTCCAGAGGAGGAAGAAGTGCTGGAAGTGGATAGGACACACATTAAGGAAAGCACTCAACTACGTCACAAGGCACGCTCTCACTCGGAATCCTCAAGGCCAAAGAACACATTACGCCGAGAAATGAAGACAGAAATGAGAGGAATGAACAACAATTGGATAGAAGTAGAAAGGAAGGCCCAGGATAGAGTGGGTTGGAGAATGCTGGTCGGCGGCATATGATCCATTGTGAGTAACAAGCGTAAGTAATTAAGTAGTCTCACTGAAAATATATATAAAGTCGAGAACGTAGGTTTGTGACAAATCCCAACAAAACTTACATGAGTAAAATATTGTATCTCAACCACTTAAATTGTGAACACTGACAAAACGAAATAGCAGTTGGACTAGTTCATTGTAAGCTATAATTTACATAACGTACCAAAATAAATAATCGGGCAAAACAAGTATATTTTGGTAAGAGATAACTTTATGGGTTTAAAACATGTATTTGTTTTACAAGATTAGATGGACTATCAGGTTTTAAAAACACAGTATTTCGTGTACATAAATCTATTTGAGCAAGAGCTGATTCAATTTGTTCCTGTACAGATGTGTCCTTTTCAATGATTCGACGTGTTGACAATAGCCTATGAAGGTCACGAATCACATCAGATGGAATCCATGGGGGTAATTCGGTGGTACTAGTTTCTGGTAAGAATAAAGAGCGTGCTAAATATGCTGAAGCTTTACGAACTACATTGATACATCTTGAGATAGATGAAATTCGATCAACAACAAAATCTGTAAGGACAGAATAAAATAGAAATAATAGAAAAAAACTAGGAGAAACTGTAAAAAACATTTAGTATTTATCTGAATAAACATTCGACGTATTCATGTGACAACCGTCAGCAATTATGGTTACGCATTTTATTTATACATAAAGCTAAAGTAGAGGAATGGAATAATTGAATAAGCAAAAGTCACGTCCAAACATCATTATTATTCTTGTCTACTCAAAACAACGAAGAGAAGCAGGTTTGTGGCTCGTGCAGATGATTTTTGACCAGAAAGACTAAGATAAAACGCTAACTTTAATGGCTTTCTGAATGAGAATGCAAACAAATCAGCAGTTCAATCCTTGAACACATGGTTAACTCCGGCCATATGCCGCCACGAGAATTGTGGTTCAAGATTATCAGCATAGTTAAAAGAACTAGCTCGAAAGAGATTTGGACTAAGAATTTGTGCACAGCTGAAACTATATAACAATTTGTCATTTCGAGTCAAACCTCTTTGTACAAAAGAGTTAAGTTCAATTCCTTGTTTTTTCATGGTCATAGCTTCCCTCCTAGTTTTACAAATTATAAACATTAATTATTATCTTATTAGTCAATTTCTTTACAATATGGGCAGCTGTCTTTTTCATTTATTATATAGATTATTATTTACTAATACATATGACACCGTTACATAACTTCATTTTTTTCGTAATCTTTGATCACTTTTTTAAATGATTCAGCCTCCATTTCATTCAATACTCGGAAACCTTCAGTAACTTTGATTACTTCGAAATAACCTTTTCATTTAAAAACTATTCTACTCAATACTTGACATCATTTTGTAATCTTTGACTACACTAAATTATGCAGGAACACTTAATTTTTATAAACTTTTACACTCGATCCCTAAACACATCTAGCTATCTATGCCCATTCTGTAATATTTTAACAGCTGAAGTTAGACAATAACAGCGTTTGATGCCGGGTCAGTAGTCTAGAGGTTGGGCGTTCATGCGAGAGTGAGGATCATGGGTTCGAGTCCCGAGTGCGGGATCGTGGATGTGAACTACTGAGGAGCCCCGTACTAGAATGGAACGACCGTCCAGTGCTTCCAGGTTTTCTATGGTAGTCTAGCTTAGATCGACTCGTAAATTCAATTGTTAAAATACTACGACCTCCACAAGTTCCATACTGATAATTTTGCAATATTTCTCTATTTTATTATGGATCACAATATGTAAAAAGTTACTTAGAAATACGACTATACAACTCAAGAAAACGATATCGCCGAAACGCCTTCATTTCTCAATAAAATAATTATAAAATATCTCAAGAGTAATAATAAAAACTTTTTAAAATGTCAAACTTATTGAAAACAGTCTGTGATAAAATATTAAGAGCTTTCATCAAGTTGAGTGTTCCAATGAGATTTGCCACTATACATCCTAATTAGGATATTGAATCAAAGTTACATTACAGGAAATTAATTATACAGTTGATAGTATCATAATTGTTGCGAAATCTGAAAATCATGTTCATCTGATTTCTGAGGCCGTGTAAGAGCGAAACAGGTGTACGTAAACTTATGGTTCATTTAATTGATGTTAAGCTGGTGATTACAATTACCTTCTTAGAGATCGGAAAAACCTACTTACATTCGAATTTTCACCACAGAGCGACGAACTGTTTTAGAATAAACAAAGGACATTTTATGAGACGAGTACGAATATTAATGAGGATGTCATAGATGAGATAACAGTTATGGTGTAAATGTTGATCTATTCGCATGGTAGGTTAGTATGACACCAAACGGCGAGAAGCAAAAATAATTTGAAGTCAAAATTCTATGAGGATTGTGCTATCGATACACTACTTACTTATGAATAGATAGAGGTATTCGCACATCGAAGAAGTAATACTTTTAAAACTTTCGCTTAAATATCCATCTGTATTCACTTAAAATACTGATCACTCAATGCACAATTTATGAAGTTACGTATATTGTTCTTGTTTCACCTAATTACAAGTAATATTATATGACTGAATATGCAGTTTTAAAATCACTCAAATCATTGACTAGCAAAAATATTTCGATTCATGATAAGCTGATTATCAGAGATAATAAGATAGAAACCACTTACTCACCTCATAAATGATTGGTTGAACAGAATATTTTAACAATCGAACAAGCTCAGCAGTATTTGAAAGACAAGCTGCTCGTATTAACTCTTCAGATGACTTGGATCCCATGACAAAAGAGTTAAACACCTCTGTTCGATACTTTGGTGCCATTTCACCTTAAAATATCAATACAAATATTAATTTCTTTTGTGATGATTTAGCCCGAGACATATTTAACGCATTAAAGTTTATATGATGAATGGAAGACAAAAACATAGAAACACTACAGTTTGATACAATTCTGTCTTGGTTCAAATTCCAACAAGACAGTTGTACTGAAAATTATCAAAGATAATAATTTGTAAAACACACACATAAACAAAGTTAAATTTATTCAAAGAAAAACAAAACAATTAACCTATAATTTATAATGAATTATTTTCGTAAATAACAATAAAAAGATTACCTAAATTCGACAAAACACGCATTATAGATTCAGCTAATTTCAATTTATATTCAATATCATAATCGCCAGTAGTACTAGTGACAATGGTACCAATAGAATTTGCTGGTTTATTGGTAGTCTGCACACTCTTAGTGAATTGATTTAACAGTAGATTTAATACTTTGTCCGTTAATATACAGCCCATAGCTGATAGGCATCGAATCGCATTCAAATAAATATAACTATCTGTATGTGACAAATATTTAGTTAAAACCTAGATTAACAAAATATTTGAAAAAAATAAACGGTAGAAAATTGGGAATCACATCAAGCAAACAAAAATCAAATGTAAGGATTGTACGTCATTATTTATATTTTTTATGATGATCAAGATGTTCTCATCGTTGGTTAGCTTCAAGATGAATGACTTCAACAACCAAAAAGGGCTCTGATAGAATTACCTTGGTGATTACAATACCAAAGGCTATAAACTTAATGATAATTTAATGAAATCTGATCTAATCAGTAAACACCTCCCTAATTCATTTAATTACCAGAATTACATGTCAGTATGCAATGAATTATGAAAATAGTAACCAAATAATCGCAATAATATCTGTAATTTATGTATGAATAAACAAAGTGAAGCATTAAAATTACCTATGAGAAATTATTATAGGTAAAGAAAAGAGATACAGACCAGTTAGTTGTGACTTAAAAATCGAATGTTAGTGCGTAAATGAGTTTATTTACGAAATAACATAAAATTTATTGGAAAAACAATTGAGTTAACTGTTTGGTCCTGTTTTATTTAGTTATTTAGAGCAATTGAAATAATTTATAATCTTGTAATCAACAGCAGTACACTAAACGGTGCTAAAAATCACAAATAACTAAATCAGTTTATTACCAAGTCTAACATGATAAATCGAAAATAGCAGTTTCAGCAGTATGTGTATACACACATATGTGTGAGTGCAAAAACAAGAGGGAGATTTAAAATTGGACAGATAGTTTTAAAGGTACGCAATAATAAATGCTGAGGTTGAGTTATTAAAACCACTCGATTTGCAACTAACGGATTAGAGTCCTCCTCCATTTAATTAGGTTCAGATACTTGAGTAGTACAGTTTCATCAAAGAGGATTGGAGAAGGATTGAACTGTCAGAACTAGCCTAAGGAAAAATATTATTTATATCTTCACTGCGTAATTGTGAGCCGCTCGGATCGTTGTATTTTTGTATTTTCGTACTGTAAGCTTTAATCTTACTACTCTAGATATTTGCTTAGTTTTAGTATCACTCATGACTGAGTTGCATATATACTGTAATTTCTTGTTTCCTTTGCTGTGCACTCAGGTAATTGAGGTAGATTATTGTATCAGTTTTGACTGATAGATGAATAAAGTACAGTAAAGGATCCATCGACTTGCTGTCTTCGTCTTCCGATCACAAGGTGCACATGGCGGTGTGTACTACTTGTACGGACAGATATAAACAGTATTTATCAGTCATTGAGAGTAGACTTCTAACGGATAGGAGAGGAAACTGAAGAGAAAGGAAACCAGGGAGTAATCGAAATAAAAACAGGGATGAAAAAAACAACGGAGTTTGTAGAGACAACTCGCGGAAGATCGGCAAATAATATATTTAGTGTATTGTTTTCATATTTCACAAATGCAGTGTGTGATTTCGCATAATACAATAAATCAGCTTGCTACTCAGAACTTCATTCATTACACTGTAACTGTTTACGATAACTGAGCCATTGGTTAAGAGAAGTTTGTTGTGTTATTAGACACAAAGGTTACTAATCTTAAGGGAAATATGGGCGAATAAATCGATAGTCTGACTGAGCAATACAACAGCTCCCATAACAAATGGCGTAATTATACAGGTAAACACTACAATCCAAGAACACGTTCGTCTTGAAGGTACAACAAACACTATCGAACCCCACAAAACTAATGTGGTTCAGAGTTAGTAAATCGAACCAAATTTAAAATAACTGTAGAAAAGATGCTCCATACAAACCGAAAGATTACGACATGGTTTATCGATAGAATTTCTAGAATAACGTGACATAGTAATGAAATTCAAAACCATCATTTTGTCTTAAAGTGATAAGGGTCTTCAGAATTTAAATTCGGGATTTTAGAAAACCACTTTCGTTTCAAAAGATTGTATCACCTGAAAGCTCTTTATTTCACCCGAAGACTTTGTATAAGTGGTTAGTGTAGCTACATCAAAGGATAAAGATGAAGTTTAAAGAAACTCACTTCAAATATGAGTTGTTCATGGCCCCAAATACATGAATCTCTGGATTCCAACAATCGACTAAGCACAATCAATGCATGACCTTGGACAGGAATCAAAGGATCATGTAATTCTTCGAAAATCTTTTTCAAAGTTGGATCCTCTAGCTGACTGCAAACAGATTGCTGCACATTCTGGGGGTTGGAGATAGTAACTTCTTCGATAATTTTTTGAGGACACTCTGATTGATGGGTTTCAGCTTCTACTTTGTCAAAATTACATCTAAGGTGAATAAAAAAATACAATGTTTTACAGTAAACTTTTAACTAAAACTTTTAAAAATCTTACTGATTTTATTAAGGCAGCACATGACTAAATTCAGTTGTGAGACTAAGTGATCAATCAAATGAGAACATTTAAGTTACCAACAATTCTTATCCCAAGACAACAGAAACTTGATAACTAACAAAGTTCCACAGTAGATAAAATTGCATAGTTGTTTTTTCGAATACACAGTGGTAATTATATAGAAGCGCCACGGATTTACTATGTAAGAGATTTTCAGTTTAATCAAATTCGGCTGTGTTCAAATTGCTTTCATGTATTATACAAGCTTAATAGCCTTTGAAGCCAAAAGCCATTATTTAGAACCTAAATATGCATTTCAATAGAATAAGCTTTAATGAACTAAACATCACTGACAAATACGACGCTCGTTTTCACTAACACCTGACACTAAACAAAACTTATCTTCAAGTAGACATACGTGTGCATACTGAAAGAAATAAAGCTACCAAGTTAAATTAAACCAGTTAATACTACATTCTACTGCAATCAAGTATGAAAAAGAGGTTCATAAAAGTTTTCATGACATTTAACCCATAATTTGGAAGTGAAAATAGCCAACTATTAAAACTTTTTCTTGTCATTATGCCCACAGTTTAACTGGTTCATAAAACATGTGGGGATCTCCAGCACTGGAGTATTATAGGTGTAACATTTTATTATCTTTACTAGAATACAAAGAATAAGACGATAGTACAACCTTATTGATAGATTAAGAAATATCATTTGATTTTACACCTTACATTGTTAGAAAGTCAATCAAGAGTACGACTATTGATTGATCCAGTATGATAATCATTCACCTAGACATTTGATTGAATTCGGTAAAATTCTGTTATCAAATATTTCATGATATTCTGACAATTATTTCACTCAGTTTTAATGTGTACAGAATAAAATTTGTTTAGTTCATAATTACTTACGCCTGTTACCCCTCGTGGAGCATAGGCTGCCGACCAGGACTCTAACGTAATCTTTCCTGGACTTACGTCATAGTTATTTAAATATAATAAATAATCACTGGAAAGGGTATATGTATATAAAATACTTTTTTCAAAAAAGATCTATTCTTTCTAACCTATGCTTTTTTTCCTTAATAGTTGAAAGTTGAGTTAAAAGCATCAGTGATATGGTGTTGAAGGATAATCGCGGGTGTTCACCATCTCCTTAACATCACCAATCGCGTATCAAGATTCAAGTTACAACATCAGCACCAAATTCCCTGACTGAAGATAAACACATCACTGTAACACAATCTATGTTTTGTAAATATTTTAGTCCATATAAAGACCAATCATTATTGTTTCCAAAAACGGAACATCTCAAGAGGTAATTTTAATTAGAATAGAACAATCAAGATTTCATCATTATCGTTAGGAAGTGAGACTGAAGTGTGAAACTGTCATGTAAGTAATAAATTTGACAAATCATCTAAATAAATAAATAAATAAGATATCATTTTTCGCTACAACTTATAATGAATACAATCGTATAGTTCTTCCAATAACTGAAATTTGGACGGAAAGCCTATCAATATGATTTTAAACAGGTTCTTAATAGTGATTCTATTAGAATATTGAAACTCACTTGGTAAAATACAAATTATTTACAGACGTAGTTAAAAAAGAATCATGACAAGGAATAGCTCCACGTGTGGCTAATGTAACTTTAATGCATTTTAGAAGATTTAAAGTTGAATTGCCCATTGAGTGTGATATAGAGTTGATAACAAGTTCCAACTTATTTAAAATTGGCAATAAACGACTGAATTCATCTCGAGCAGTTGTTATTTCATGATCTCTAGTAGACTATGTTTAAAATGCATATACAAGAAATTAGAAATTTCTGAAGTCAATAAACAAAGGTGTGCAAAATATCGAATTAAAATATTAGCGATAAGAATTTAACAACATAAATATATCTCATAGAAAAAGTACAGTTAGTAAGGTAATCGATATCACGTAAATAGTTCTCTGAATATCTACCACGATTATTAGTTTATTGAAGTACGATATCTCTGAATTACTACATGGAATACTTTAAGAAAAAGTAATTCATGTATATGAGTGTTGTAATATTGGTGATATCTAACAACACTTTTCATTTTAATTGAGATTTATAAGGATATTCAAATGCAGCTGTGAATGTCGTTAAAGAACTCAATTTTCAATCAACGGATGACAGTTTTGAAATAAAAGCAGTTTTATTCAGTACAGAGATTTGTATATTATCACTAAGCTTCATACAGTATGACTCAAAAACAAGTATATAGACCTGTAATTAGAAAAACGAGCTGAAATGTGTAAGCATATTTAAGTGAAGTTTACAACATGGATGATAAGTGCATGTAATTGGTCATGAAACGGCTTTCATTTCTAAAGGATGAGGTATAAATTATTGGCGGCTCAGTTTCCGAAGGTGTGGCTTGAGGCCTATTAAATATCACGTGATTTATTCACCAACCAAATACGACTTATACAATCTTAACACTGTACCAAACCAATGACGTTCGACCGGTATGAACAACATAGCATCCTTATTGGTACCCTGTCTTCCCAGACCTTCCAGTTGAGTCAACAACACCAACACCGGATTCCACTAAGCGAATCATTTATTTCAAACATACTTGGTTTATATACCAACCAAACACACCACGTCACACCATAAACTAGGAAATAACATTTGTACAAGATCAAGCCAAAAAGTGGCTGTGATTGTGGAACACTGTAATTAATAGAATTGGCATAACTCAAGAACCGTAAATCGTATAATAATAGTCTATATGTCAAAATAAAGCTTATAATAAAAGGAATATAGATATATACAATCTATTTACTGAACAGTTACACAATTGGAATATATATAATATTAATCCAGTAAGAGTTCTCAGAGGTTACCCGTAATTTAATCTTCACTAGGATATAACAGAAGAGGTATATATATATATATATATATATATATATATATATATATATGATCACGCAAATAATTTAGACTTCCTTTCTGATCCCCGATCTTTTTTCTTGAAAAACCGGTTGGGGCTGTGTACAAGAAGAGTGAACATTGCACGTCAAAGTGATTAATCTTACAAATCAGGCGGAAAAAATTTATCGCCATATGAACTGTGTGTAATAGACTTAATACGAGCATAAAATCTAAATAACAGAAATACTTACCCCAAGTTTATTAGCATAAAAGGCTAAGATTCCTAGCAATTGACTTAACATTTGATACAAAAACTCCACATGTTCATGATTTTCAGCATGTTGAAGTAAACAACAGAAACGATGGAACAATGCCTAAAATATATGAACACAAAAGAAAAACAAATAAATACCGAAGGCGTTTACATGAAATAATAATTATAAAATTTCCATATCAGTAAACTGATTGTAACACAATCTAGTTTCCGTGTAATAATTATTCAAAAGAATTATAATTACTGAGTGATTACATAACTGAGAGACGGATCAAACCGTATATGTTTGTTATAACTTGTGGCCTGTGTGCCCTGTTAATGTATACGTAATGATGCCACCAATTAGAGAGCAGTGACTTATTGATCGGACCAATGACGCATAAATCCCGTACGAGCAGTCTAGAGTCCTGATTGGTCCTGCTTCGTGCCTAGCCCAGCCAGTTAAGTCCAGAACACCAATCTCAGACTCTGCAATATGAATCATTTATTTCAAGCATACTCAGTTTATATACCAATCAAACAGACAACACCGTACCATGAAATAAGAAACAACATTTGTACAAGATTTGACCAAATGTGGCTGCGAGTGTGGGAGGTAGTAATTAATAGACAGGGCATAATTCAAGAATGGTAAATCGTATAATAATAGTTCATAGGTCAATATAAAGCTCATAATAAGAGAGACATGAATATGAACAGTTTATTTATTTAACAATTATACGACAAAAGTATACGCACAGTATTGGCCCATAAATGGATCCCAAAAGTTACCATTCATTATGCTTATCGGGATATAACAATGTTTATGTACCTTCTATTCACAATTAGTTGAACGACGTTCTGGAATGGATTTAAGTAATGGTGGCGTGAATCTGTTGCCTGGAGAAAGACTTCTCGACCTTGAGTATGTGGATGACATTGTCCAACTGCGCTATGATATCTCAGTGATATGATGGAAAGAAAAGTCAATTTTCGATTGATTTACTCATTATGAATTTTGTTCAAGGTTACTTCCGTTTGACTCAATGTAGTATTTGTTTTCTTTTCTTGTATGATATTTTATTCTGTATAATATGCGATATTCTTGTATCCCATTGACATGGACTATGCTCAGTATGTGATTTGTTATAATTCTAAGTATTTTTCATATATGTGATTTCATCCTAATTATTAATCAAAATGGGTCTACAATCAATATATAAATGAGTGTGTTTTCTACTAGAGTCGTCGTCAGTGTTTTGGGTTAATAAATCATCATTTATGCCAGTCTTTGTGTTCTTACTTTTGCGGCGTGGGAATTGCAGAGGTCCCTCGTTCCGAGTACATGTGATAGGCGTTTCCGACATAACAATCAGCGACGACCAGACACAAAAAGTAGCATTAAAAGAGCCAAGACAATAAGTATTCAAACGACAAGTTATAACACCAAGCCATGCAATCCGCACTTAATCAGTTGGTAATCAGTGTCCGTAGGTACAGCACGTGCTTTGCACCTTCCAAGTGCAAAGAACTTTTACAAGACTAGCGGGACCCTGGACCTGCACTCTGGGTAGCTACACAAGTGCTGGTGGTGGAGTGAGTGGTGACATCAATTCACGTATAATGAAAGCCAGAGCGGCTTGTGACGACCGAGGCCATCTTTGGTACCTTCATGATATTAGTTTAGCTGCAAAAGACCGGATCTAAAACGCGTCGGTGAGAGCAGTTTTGCTCTATGCTTGTGAAACATTACCTCTTCGAGTTGAGGATATAAAACGGTTCTCTGCATTTAATCACTATCGCCTCCGAAGGATTGCCAACAATATGTTCGTAATGTAGAGAGTCCAGAACGCGCGCTCAGACACAGTAATGATAATTCAACTGGTGCCACCATATTGAAACCCCAACTTCAGTGGCTTAGACATGTCTTACGAATGTCGTTCCAGAAAATCCCATGTCGTGCATTATTTACCGATGTCGGGACAGGTCGCGAAAAGCGGAAATGTGGTCAATGTATGACATGATGTCGTGGTATGAAAGCTACACACGAATGGCCTTTGTTGGTCATTCACAACTCTATGGTTGGGGTCGTAGAGGTGGTACAACACAATGGCTAGAGATGTTATCAGACATGACCCAGAATAGAAGCAACTGGTGATCCTGCTGTAACATTTGTCATAAAAGTGGACGTAATTTCTTTGACTAAAACAATTCTCTTTGGTTGTATTTTCGCTAACTGAACTGTTTCATTCTCATACACTAATTTCTGTTCATTGTTGTTCTTTTTTATTATACACACTTTACACTTTTTATCTCTTTACAACCTTCTTGTTATTGTGTGGCGCATTTATATTTGGCGCCTCCTTGTACCAATGTTTGTGTTCAAATAAATAAACTGTCCACGATAAAAAAACTATCCATTACAAACAGATTGAATGAAAATAAACAGGTGTGGAAATAAAGACGTTTGTTTAAATTTTAGAATAATACAAGTTATTAGACCTGTCATCAATATTAATTTTAAGTTGTTACCAACAAACTACAGGTTGATAATAATAAATAATACATCGTATACAGATAGACAGTCCCATTATTACATTGAAAGAGACTACAAAATACAATCAATAAGGCTGGAATTTTAGTTACTAATTGGCGAATTTCTATGCAGTAGAAGGTAAATTAGATTTAATTTCTATGTAATTAATCACTTTCTATGATGTTTAAAAGTGGACAAAATAAAATAAAATGTGATAGGTATTTAACAGATTAAACCAAAGAAGAATATTCAGATAATTTATCAAATTCTCTTAATATACTCTGTAATAATATACCTAAAACTGTTCTTTTACAAATAAAGTTTAAAAGAAATATATTATTAAACACTTCAAATTACCTCAAATAAATTACAAGCTTGATTGATATCTTGAGGCCAAATTAAATCATCTAGACTTTCAATCATAGCAGAAGTAATCAATGAAGAAACAGTTCCAATCTCAATAATGTCTTTTTCATTCTGTGGTATAAGAGCTTCATTCATTGATTCAAAAATGGCTTGGAAAGTGAAATGTAAATCCTAAAGCATAAAATTAGGTAGATAATTCAACAAAACATTAATAACAGTTAGCGAAATATGGCTTAGCTCACCTCTTAATGCAAAATTTCGACTGAATATGGAGACCAATCTGATGAAGTTAGAATAAATCATGTTAAGCCAAAAGACTACTATTACATCACCAGCTAGATACACAAATTAGAAAGCTAATAGACTTGTAAGCACAAGGGAATTGATACCTTATATGTTGGCAACAAATGATGTGGTCTCGGTAATCAAAAATATTGAGCTTCTTATTCATGTTACAGATAAACTACTATTCGTAGTGAGTGAGCCAATTACAACGTCGAACACCTGGTATGTATGTACATCGGTTCAAGTTGTCATGCCCGATAATCACAGAGAGATGAAGTTGTCATTACAAATCCCAGAATAGTAGAGGTAATAAGTGTCAGTGGTAATTGGAAAGATTAGTCATCAACGATATGATTTGAAAAGAAAATACAAATTCGTGGTATAAAAACAATAAAAGTTATGAGGAATTCAGAATCTCAGGATTCGAGAGAAGACAAATAATAGATGCATCTGAGCTAACGCATACGATTTCGAGCCATGTCATTCAAACTTTCAAACCAGTAATTACGACAATCAAGCGGACCCAAACCAGGTAGCCCATCAACATAGCTCAGTCGAATTGTCAGCGACCTCATGGGCTGATGCCATGTTTTGATTTGGACACCCCTAACTTTCTCTCGGCTTCCTCCTGAACCAAGAAATATTCTTTCGAGGTAGGCGGTGGTTGGGTATACGTAACACATGTCCAAACCACCTCAGCTGATGAAGATTTATTACCTCGCCAATCTATTTCCCATCTTCACCTAGTCAGTTAGTCAGTCAGCTACAACGTAGGACCAGGCACATTTATGCATCGGTCCAAGTTGCCATACCTCATTAACACAACAAGATGGACACCGGATTCATATAAGTAGTTAATTCAGAGGTGGTAATATATAAAAGAAAGATTGCAATAAGGATATAGTACAGGAAGAAAGAATTAGTTCGTAGAAAGAAAGATATGAAGCAATTTTAATCTCTTAGTTTAAGAGAAGACAGAGAGTGTATACACCGACGCCATTGTGACCGATTCTGAGCCATGTCACCAAGAGTCTCCATCTACCAACATGGCTCAGACTAGAAGTTGGTGACTTCAAGCACTGATGCCACGTTTTGGTTTGGCCGCCCCTAACTTTTTCCAACCATCTCCAACACCGGATAGCATTGCACGTCGTGGTAATCGGTGTTCAGGCATACGTAACACGTGGCCCAACCATCTCAGTCGATGAAGATTCATAACCTCATCAACTAATTTACCATCATTTCCTAATACCCTGTGTCTAACCTCACTATTACTTACCCGGTGATCCCATCAGATGCCAGCAATATTTCTAAGGCATCTGTGGTCAAATACTTGTAGCTTACGGGTGTCTTCTACTCTTAAAGGCCATGTTTCGCTGCCGTAGAGTAAGACAGAACGGACTGCCGCGCAGTATACTCGTCCTTTTATTGATAGACGGATATCTCGCCTTCGCCAAAGGTGACGTAAGTTGGCAAAAGCCAAACGAGCTTTTCGAATCCGTGCTGAGATTTCGTCCGATCCCAACCCATTAAGGCTGATCAGACTTCCAAGATAAGTGAAGTTGTCAACGCGTTCGACCACTTCACTCCCTATCCTTAGTTCAGGTGTTAACGCAGACCAGTCCTGAAGCAACAACTTGCATTTAGAGGGAGAGAAGCGCATCCCAAACATTCTGGCATTGTTGCTTAGTGCTACCAAAAGACTCTGCATTTTGTCAGCGTCTTCACCAAACAGGACTATGTCATCTGCGTATTCTAAGTCGATAAGTGGACCTCCTGGTAGGAGATCAATACCCGAGAATTCAGTAGACGAGAATGTTATTTCCATCAATAGGTACATGATGAAGTTGAAAAGAAATGAAGAAAGTTGACAGCCTTGACGGACACCACTTGAGGTAGCAAAAGCAGATGACAGTTCGCCATAAACTGTGACTCGACTGGTAGTGTTCGATTAAAGAGCCTTCACAAAGGTTTATGTACTTCTGGGGTACGCCTTTCAATGATAGACACTGCCACAGGATCTCGCGGTCTACCGAGTCAAATGCTGCTTTTAAGTCGATAAAGACCACCATTGTTGGACGTCGATAAGTATGCCTGTGTTCTAGAACCTAACGAATGGTGAATATGTGGTCGATGCAGCCACGACCAGGTCTGAAGCCAGCTTGATTCTCTCGTGTTTGCAGTTCACGAGTCTTAGTTAGGCGTCTGATAATTATCGAGGCTAGTATTTTAGATACTATATTTGTTAAACTAATCCCTCTGTGGTTGTCACAGGATGATTTTGACCCTTTCTTATATATTGGGACGATAAGTGATTGCGACCAGTTAGATGGGATAACGTCTAACTCCCAGATCTTAGCTAAAATATTAGTCAACCTAATCGCTAAAATTGGACCACCATCCTTAAAGACTTCTGGAGCCAATCCATCTGGACCAGCTGCCTTCCTCGTTTCAGATTAACTATAGGCTTCTCAACTTCAGCAAGAGTTGGGGGACCTACTTCAATGTCCCATTCACATTGTCTGCGAATGGAGGGTAGTTGTAGAGTAGCTGAAGGCCGGTTGAACTGTTCTCTGAAATGTTCCGCCCATCGTTCTAAACGTCTGGACTGGGAGCAAATGAGAGTATCGTCTTTTTCCGAAATAATCTCACTTACACTTGATTTATTAATTCCAGTTTCTTTTATTAGTCTGTAAAGCTGTCTTGTGTTCCCTATAGTCGCCGCCTTTTCCATCTCTTTTGCTTTCGTTACCCACCACTGCTCACGGTCGTTTCTTAGAATTTTTCTTAACCTAGATCTGATTTGTTGTCGCTCTTCATCGTGTTCAGAGCCCTCGTTACTCAACTCAGTTCTAATGGGTCTTTTTAATGTGGCCTTTCTGCGTCCAGTGAGGCGCAAGCAGATGCGTGCCCGTATTAGGGCGTGGTCGGAGTCCAAGCAGGTACTTCAGAATGAGCGACAATCTTCTACCGACCCTCTCCAACGATGACTGATGGCAATATGGTCTATTTGAGTCTATCGTTGGTTTGGTGTAGGGGGTCGCCATGTTAGACGATGTCTCTCCTTATGCTTAAAATTTGTGTTTGCTAAAAATAAACGATTGTCTGAGCACAGTTGCAGCAGACGGTCACCATTATCTGTTCGCTGTGTCGGAATACTAAAATATCCACCTAAATGCCTTTCTGTTTGGTTTAAACTACCTATCTGAGAAGTAAAGTCACCCCCTACGAGTACTATGTCTGAGCGTTTAGCTTTCTCCAGAAGTTCGGACAGCTTTCTGTAAAATTCATCTTTCACTTCATCTGAGCTGCAGTCAGTGGGAGCGTAGGCAGATACGACAAAAAGGCAACGACGTTTGTCCCTATCATTCCGAGTTCTTACGCAGCCGTTCAGCCGAACAGCACATAGACGACTGTTGACGGGGATCCACTCTAGCAGTGCTTGTTCCGCCCTCATGCTTAGTGCTAGGCCTACACCTGCCAGTCCACGAGAACTGGCCATCGGGTCACCAGATACACGAAGGGTGTATCTCGTTGGCTCTCCGTCTTGCCGAGGTGAGGTCAAGTGAATGACCACACTGGAATCCTGTATGCGTGTTTCAGAGACACAGCATACATCAATGGTAAGAGACTCTAGGGTTTTAGGCAAGGAAGCCTGCTGACCGATTTGACATAGGGTTCGTACGTTGAAGGCTCCAATGTGTAGTTTGGAGCGAGGTTTCAGTAGACCTGGGACAGTGTTTTGAGCACTAGAATCGTTGGCTATGGTGACACTTGAGGAGGAAGCCGAAAGAGGAAGTTTAGAGTTGAAAGCCGATGTAGAAGGAATAATAGGAATTGAAGAGGAAGGTTGATTATGAATACAGTGGTCTTGGGTGCTGTTAGAGGTATGAGGGCGGTTATCACTTCCCGGTTGCCCACACCGAGGAAGGGTTGTTCTGGAGGTACCTGAAAAGGAAATTGGATTAGAGGTGGTCTCAGTGACCTGAGAGCGTGACCGCAGTGCCCAAGGGACAACTGCTTGGAGTCGGTCGCGCACGGCCTTTTCGTGGAAGGTTTTTAACGTGTTGGCTCCGTTCTTCAAAGGGCCTTACCGCTGGAGACGGAAATCCGTGGGGTAAGGTGAGGTGTGCATTTTTAGGGTCGACCTTTTCTAACCCCACCCCTCCTTGTGGGAAGGCAGCATCGCTGTCATGCTGGTTGTCCGAGGGAAACACCTTACTGCTGTCACACCTCTGTACAGTCAGCAGTACGACTTCGCCTTCGGACCTTGGGTTTGTTGCTTTTAGTCTTACCGCTCTTCAACCGACCTGTCTGACATGGTAGGACCTTGAGGAACAGTTGTTCCAGCCAGTATAGCTCGGTTGCTTCATCACGATAGGCAAGCCCGACCACCACGTCAAGGTAGCAACAACCCAGGCATTACTTACTTGTGATCCCAAAGTAAACGAACAATAATTCGTAAACACCTATGGCTGAATACCAGTAACCTACGAATATCGTCTATTCATAATGACCATGTTTCATATCCATAAAGTAGAACGAAGCGAACTGCTGTCCAGTAACCAACTTAGAGAACAGGAAATAGAGGCTACAACCCCTGTGAATATCATTAATGAATTATTACCAAAATGTACTATGAACGTAAACTTCAGATTCAATGGCTAAATATACAGACGTGATGGAAGCAATGAACAGCCGTTTGGTCGTAGTATGGGACACCTCAGCAGTGAGGATCCACGGTCCCGCACACGGAACTCCAACCCTGAACCCTCTGTCTTGCGTGAGAATGCTTAACCTCTAGGCTACTGAGCTGGCGTTCAACGGTGTTAATATCTAACTTCAACTAATCCACAATATCGTGCGACCATTTTTATTGTTTTCGGTGGGTAACTACCTCACATCTGACAAGGTTAAACTAAACGATGGTCTAAAATTGATCGACTCGTGATTTCAATGCCATTAACGATTTTATTCTATTTTACAATCCTAGAGTCACACACTATAATCGCCTAAAAGCTTGCCACTCTTGGGACTATTAATTTGGATATATAATTGTAGAACCTGAATAGAATTTATTGAAAACAATATGATAGGAATTTTCAAGGACGAGGAAATCCGCTTCCAGAAGGCGTTTACTACTAATACTCGAATATATGGCTGTTGGACCGAAATAGAAGAGCCTAAGATAATGGATACGGTGTTCGTTGCCGCCATATTTCGTGTCATTCATACAATCAATTGCATGATGCTAATAGAAACAAAGATAAAGTTGTGGAAACCGAAAACTTTCGTAAATACTCATAGATTTAATTGACTACGTAGGACATCTAGATAAGAAGAACGGCCAGACAAGTGTAGCGTTACTTTCTCCAGCATTATATAGCATGATAACGTAAAGATAACTAAATTTAATGGTCACACAAAAGCATCTACCATTAAACAGTCCCAGTGAGAAGTTCTAGGTTTCCATGGTCAAACACAGAAAAGACAAAACTGACCAAACGTTTCCAACCAAGTACCAGCACAAAAAAATACTGACTTGATTTTTAACAATAGTCTTGCCTTTTGCAGAGACAATGAATGCTCTTTTACAAAAGATCAGTCTTTCTCTTTGTATTGTGTACGTGTGTTATTCCGAATATTGTCAGGTTCTGCTAGGATCGTTTACACACTAAAGTTAGTGTTCGGTTATTGCAACAGAGAATCAAAAGCAACATTATTTTATTTGAAGGTGATATTTTTGGAACATTTGAATTATGAATGTACGGCTACTAGATCATTGAATGTCAATTGAGTTTTAAATAAGAAAGATTAGTTCAGCGAAGAGTTCTCTTCTCGGCGAATTCATTTTCAAAGCTCTACAATCGCAAATATATATACTTATTTTTACAGGATGATAATAATACTGATAATAAACTTGTTATTATCCTGTAAAAATAAGTATATATATTTGCGATTGTACAGCTTTGAAAATGAATTCGCCGAGAAGAGAACTCTTTGCTAAACTAATCTTTCTTATTTAATGTCTTGATGGGTGTATTCCGTTTATTAAAAAGTTGAGTTTTACTTTTTAATAGAGTGATGCTGAAAGTGTGTTTTATAATAAATTAAACAATATTCAGTAGAACTTACTGTCAATAAACTCAGAAAAAGATCTGCATGAGTAGTGATCTCATTAATTTGATTTTTCTCACTTTGTTTTTCATCTATCAAAATATGCAAATGATGTCCAACTTGTTTATTAGAAGAATTATTTTGAAATGAAGATGGACTCATAAAAAATAGCAATGTGACAAGACTTTTAATACTGGAAGATAAATTCTGTATCCCATTAACAGTAGGTAATTTCTCGTTTATTATGACACAAGTATATGGTACATAGACTGAATTATGTTTTCTCATTGTAATTTCATCTAGAGATGTGGATGAAGATTCCATAGGCTGAACTTTGGATAATAATCTAAACATTAGATTTTCTTGACATGAATAAGCTGAAAGCCAATCAGTAGTGCTACTCATAATTGACACTTCATGTTGTAGTTCTGATGGCATAAATTTCAAGGATGGAGCAGGTAGATTAAACCAACTACGTATTAATGACAAACGATTGAGACGGGAATTCAAATCAGAAGATAACAGACGAGTAAGAATCCAGATTAAGCATTCTCTAAAATCGAAAAGTATAGTAACTTGGTTAATGGTAAAAATTTAGTTTCAGTTTCGTAATAATATTGTAATATAATATGCAGGAATTTCAAACTCTTGATTACACAAAGGAAGTAGTACAGTCCAGTGATGATTTAGAGGTGGTTTCATAAAACAAAGCCAAATGATGAAACTGTCTGTATTAGATGAAGTGTAGGAATGAAAGAAAAAAACGGTTGATTTGTAGCTGTTTATTTACTCAGTTCTAAGAAAATATAGTCACTTATTATAGATACTAACTCCGCCTGGAGTCCCTCCGGGGGCTACTGCCGGTCCCAAGCCCGGATAAAGGAGGAGGGTTGGGCATGGGGTTAGCGTCCCCATCCCGTAGAAAACTAACTCGCTAAAAAAACGCTAACCAGAAAAAATTATTCAAACCTTTTAAACTCTGCCCTGGGAGTCAGAAGGTCTTCATTTAGAAGAATTATGACGCCTCATGATGAAAGCCGAATTCCTTCGGAAGTTACGAGGCCGATGCCCCTTCTGACAACCAGAGCGACCATTTATTTAGGTACATGGAATGTTCGTACAATGTGGGACACCGGGAGAGCCTTCCAAATTGCTGCAGAAATGAGAAGATACAACCTAGAGGTACTTGGGATCAGTGAAACACATTGGACACAAGTTGGACAACAACGACTAACTACAGGAGAGCTCCTGTTATACTCCGGCCATGAAGATGAAAATGCACCACATACACAAGGAGTTGCATTGATGCTGTCCAAACAAGCGCAAAATGCGCTTATAGGATGGGAATCTCATGGACCAAGGATCATCAAAGCCTCGTTCAAAACAAAGAAAGAGGGTATTTCAATGAACATCATCCAATGCTATGCGCCTACCAACGACTACAATGAAGACGCTAAAGATCAATTCTACAATAGGCTGCAGTCAATCGTCGAGAAGTGCCCAACAAAGGACCTGACTATTCTGATGGGAGATTTCAACGCCAAGGTTGGAACGGACAACACTGGATATGAAGACATCATGGGACGACACGGACTGGGAGAAACGAAAATGGTGAGAGATTTGCAAATCTATGTGCCTTCAATAAACTGGTCATAGGCGGCACCATATTCCCACATAAACGCATACACAAAACCACATGGACTTCACCGGATCACACCACACAAAACCAAATCGACCATATTTGCATCAACAAAACGTTCAGGAGGACTATAGAGGACGTGAGAACCAAGAGAGGAGCTGATATAGCATCAGATCATCACTTGCTGGTCGCCAAGATGAAATTGAAACTCAAGAAGCACTGGACAACGGGGCGGACAATATCACAAAAGTTCAATACGGCCTTTCTTCAGGATACTAACAAACTCAACAAATTCAAGATAGTCCTCAGCAACAAGTTCCAGGCCTTTCATGATCTACTCAATGGAGAAGGAACTACTGTGGAGAGCAACTGGAAGGGGATCAAAGAGGCAATCACTTCAACATGTCATGAGGTCCTGGGTCACAAGAAGCACCATCACAAGGAATGGATCACTGTTGATACACTGGATAAGATTCAAGAAAGGAGGAACAAGAAGGCAGCAATCAATACCAGTCGAACAAGAGCAGAAAAAGCCAAGGCACAAGCTGAATACACAGAAGTAAACAAACAAGTGAAGAGGAGCATCAGAACCGACAAACGTAAATATGTGGAAGATTTAGCAACGACGGCGGAAAAGGCTGCAAGAGAAGGAAACATGAGACAACTGTATGACACGACAAAGAAACTCTCTGGAAATCGCCGCAAACCAGAACGACCAGTGAAAAGCAAGGAAGGCGAGGTAATCACCAACATTGAAGAGCAACAAAACAGGTGGGTAGAACACTTCAAAGAACTCTTGAATCGACCAGCTCCACTGAACCCACCCAACATCGAAGCAGCACCCACGGACCTCCCAATCAATGTTGGCCCACCAACAATTGAAGAAATCAGCATGGCCATCAGACAAATCAAGAGTGGCAAAGCAGCAGGACCGGACAACATCCAGCAGAGGCACTAAAAGCAGACGTAGCGGCAACTGCAAGGATACTCCACATTCTCTTCAATAAGATTTGGGATGAGGAACAAGTACCAACAGACTGGAAAGAAGGACTTCTGATCAAAATACCGAAGAAAGGCGATCTCAGCAACTGTGATAACTACAGGGGCATCACTCTTCTCTCAATACCGGGAAAAGTCTTCAACAGGGTATTGTTAAACAGGATGAAGGACTGCGTAGACGCCCAACTTCGTGACCAACAGGCAGGATTCCGTAAGGATAGATCGTGTACAGACCAAATCGCAACTCTACGGATCATTGTGGAACAATCAATTGAATGGAATTCATCACTCTACATCAACTTCATTGACTACGAAAAGGCATTTGATAGCGTGGACAGAACAACACTATGGAAACTTCTTCGACACTACGGCGTGCCTCAGAAGATAGTCAATATCATACAGAACTCATATGATGGATTACACTGCAAAATCGTGCATGGAGGACAGTTGACAAAGTCGTTCGAAGTGAAGACCGGTGTTAGGCAAGGTTGCTTACTCTCACCCTTTCTCTTTCTCCTGGTGATCGACTGGATCATGAAGACGTCAACGTCTGAAGGGAAGCGCGGGATACAATGGACATCTAAGATGCAGTTGGATGATCTAGACTTCGCAGATGATCTGGCCCTTCTATCCCAAACGCAACAACAGATGCAGGAGAAGACGACCAGTGTGGCAGCAGCCTCAGCAGCAGTAGGTCTCAATATACACAAAGGGAAAAGCAGGATTCTCCGATACAACACAGAATGCACCAATCCAATCACAATTGACGGAGAAGATTTGGAAGATGTAAAAACCTTTACGTATTTGGGCAGCATCATTGATGAACAGGGTGGATCTGATGCAGATGTGAAGGCGCGGATCGGCAAAGCAAGAGCAGCATATTTACAACTGAGGAACATCTGGAACTCAAAGCAACTGTCAACCAACACCAAGGTCAGGATTTTCAATACAAATGTCAAGACAGTTCTACTGTATGGGGCAGAAACCTGGAGAACTACGAAAGCCATCATCCAGAAAATACAGGTGTTTATTAACAGTTGTCTACGCAAAATACTTCAGATCCGTTGGCCGGACACTATTAGCAACAACGTACTGTGGGAGAGAACAAACCAGATCCCAGCGGAGGAAGAAATCAGGAAGAAGCGCTGGAAGTGGATAGGACACACATTGAGGAAAGCACCCAACTGCGTCACAAGACAAGCCCTCACATGGAATCCTGAAGGCCAAAGGAAAAGAGGAAGACCAAAGAACACATTACGCCGAGAAATGGAAATAGACATGAGAAAAATGAACAAGAATTGGATGGAACTAGAAAAGAAGGCCCAGGACAGAGTGGGTTGGAGAATGCTGGTCAGCGGCCTATGCTCCATTGAGAGTAACAGGCGTAAGTAAGTAAGCATTTATCGATACTAACTGATATGTCTAAAGCCGCACAAATTAACAACTGGTATAAAGATGTTAGTTTAACCTTATGGTCAAACAATGAAGTTTAACTCGGTGACTAAAAGATAACCGATGGTGATATGTTATGCCTTACATAAATCCAACTAAAAACCTAGAATAGTTTACTTGTCTGCTTTTAGACATTTTTTTGCAAATAAACTAGTTGTCCACATTTTTTATCAGGTGTACAATTAAAATATCAATCGTATCTAGTTGATATTATCATAACAAAATTAAATGGCATTAGATACTACAATACGGTAACCAGCTTTTTACATTACTCAATCAATGATAAGTGAACAAGGTCACATTGCCTAGACCTTAGAGACTGTTGAATCGTGCGACGTAGATTTACAGCCCCGAAAAGAAGATACGTGACTGAAAAATACGGTCTACTATACGTGTCGGATAGTGAAAGTTAATCGACAGAAGCTCTGGGCCAAGATATTTTGATTGTTAGTACAATAGTAAGTGTTCTTTGTCGATTTCATTTAATGATATATAATATACGTATAATCTATTCATTCGTTATGGAACTGACATCAGCACCCACTACATTGACACAATCACTGTCTTTATGTTTGAAGTTAGCACTATCCAACAACAGATTCAGCTAAGAATAGGATTGTCATTATCAGCTTTTCAGTGCATATTTCCGAAATGCAACATGCTCTTCCATTTGTAACCGTCACACTTAAGCGCTCATTGAAATTATAAATTAATATTTTTGAGTAGATACGGGTGGTTGTTTAAATTAACACTGATAAATTTCGACAAAAGTCCTTCTTCGTTCGAACTATAATCATGTGAGTAGAATATTAGAGAGATACTTTTGAGTTGTTTAATTTACAGAAGTTAACATCTCTTTGATGTATCGAATATTATTTATACCAATTTCGAAAATGTACAAACAAGAAAGCTGCATAAAAAATAGAACTTAGTGAGCACAAAGGTTTTAAGTCGACGGGAAAATTCACAATATACAAAATGAAGCAAGCTAAGATAATCAACTAACTTGAGTGAAGTAAAGCTTTCTGAATCATTAACGTTATCTTCATCTTCAATTGTTTGTGCAAACAATATAAATAATGGTCTAGACAATTTACATAATTCTGTTATAACAATTTGAGATGGCTCAGGACAATCCAACAGCTAAGTTTAATAAATTGAGAAAAAAAATCAAAATAAAGTTTGTAGGTATCAATGACAAAATTGAAATTGATAGTTTCGTGACTTAATGTGAGCAACATCTTCAGAGTAAATAAGTAACCGAGATAAAATTAACAAAAGTTTAAATAGCGGGGAGAAAACTCTGGAAAAGTCATTGACATTGAATCATGAAACGTCAAAGTACAATTTTCTAATCATTGGGACATAAAAAAAATATACCTCTTATCAAAATGAAGTTATATATATTTTTTGTCATAATCCTACCTCTATAACCAAAAATCAATATATATATATATATATATATATATATATATATATATATATATATACGTCATAATCCTACAGAAGTATTCAAAGTTAAAATTAGAATAAAAAATATTGATTATGTATTCTATGTTCGCGGTTTCAAAGTGCTCCCTGTTACGAAAAATACATCAGACGAGTGATGGATGCTGAGAGCCGAACTTTCTTCCACAACTCAAGAGATAAAGTACATCAGTATGTATGGTGATCCAAAGACAACATAGACGTTACACAATAAGGATGGGTTATTCAATATATATATATATATATATATATATATATATATATATATATATATATAACTTTTGGTTAGATGTAGGAATGTCACAAAATACTTTTATTCAACAGCAATCGTCACAGACCTGAAAGATTGTAGTACATACACTTTTTATTTAGTCGGGAAAAATCATACTCATTTACTAAGTCAATCAGCTACAACGTAAGACCAAGCACACCACACCTCAATAGCACAACAAAATCAACACCAAGTTAACATGCACAGTTACCTCAATGGCAGTAAAAAATCAACACTTCATATAAGGATACGATACAGGGAGAAAGAATTAACGCCGTAGAAAGAAATACATAAAGTGATTTTAATCTCACGGTTTAAGTGAAAACAAAGAGTGTATACACCTACGCCATTGTGATCGATTCTCAGTCATGTCACACAGTCTTCAACCATTGGTTACGATAGCCGCACCAACCACAACCAGGTAGACTGCATCTACCAACATGGCTCAGACTAGAAGTTAGTAACTGCAAGGTCTGATTCTATGTTTTGGTTTGTTCGCCCCTAACTTTCTTCCAACCATCCCCAACACTAGTCAGCATTTACCAAGTGTACAAGTGTTTATACCCAGGGACTTTCGGATGCAGCCTCATATGAGGGATGCTAGTTTCATTAACTTCTTAAAATCAAATAGTTGGAGAGCGCATTCAAAGATATGACTCAGAAATCAGTTTACTTATAATTTTTAAATCAATTTCATGCGAAGATTATTGATTAAAGGTTACATTACTTACAGTATAAGAAATATATACACTGCAGTCTGATACATTTAATTTCTGATCCTTAATACTAAAACTGTTAAAGGAAAATATGGCACCAATCCATAAAATCTATTATTACTGAGTTTCAAGCTATAGAAAATTGTTTGCTATCTGACAGATATGAAATGATAATAAGTTATCATGAATATAATTCTGACCAAATCGTCTAAATTCTACCTTCTAAAAACCTATCAAAAAATACATTTATAAACTGTAAACATCAAACTGAGTAATATTTATGTATGCAAAAATCATTATTATTGTCTGTTATCCAAAACTGTTTCCCGAATACAACAACACAAACTCACATATGACAGTGCACTGACCTATGTTGAGACGATTTACAACGATTAGAAAAAAGAAATCAATAAAACTAAGAAATATCCCAAAACTTTCTTGTCTATCTTAATAATCTTAGATAGTTTATCTGATGTAATTGAAAAATTTAAATAGTCATTGGCATTTATATTGAAATATCTGACAACTGAATTTTATTCTGGAGGTAGCTTAATTCATGAGCCCCCTAATGCCCTGGTATGGCCAAGGGTGGGGAGAGTCCGCACTACCTCTCAAACGGCCACGCGTATACAGCCATTGCGAGGGTTGCCCTACTCACTACCTTCTCGCAGCACGGGTGTTGTTTACGAAACTGACAACACGAAAACAGAATGTCCGGCGCCTTAACCCGGTTGGTGGGTACGGAGGATCCACATAGGAAAATTGTAAAACCCTGATTCCAAACCCATGGTGCACATGCGTCTCAGGATCCTGAGGGAACAAATGACGTGTGAACCTATTGTTGGCCACCGGCTACCATAGAACTGCATCTCTGAACATTGATCCACTGCTTTGTGGATTAGGCTTCTAGGTCAGAGGCTTGGGGTGTGGCCCCCTAATAAAACCACCTGCTTCAGTTTGGGTATCCGGGCAGTATTCCAGTCCTCACACAAATTAAATAACGAAGTGTGATGTACATATATTTGGTGGCTCCTTGTAAAAATGTTTGTGTTTAAATAAATAAATAAATAAAATAATTCATAATAAATTATAAAATGTTTTTGAAAATTATTTCGATTAATATATTATTCTATTAATTTGCTGGTTATTCTAATTATTGTCAGTATAGGGTCGTGAAGATTGTTGAATTTCATCGAAACCACGAACCTGTCCAAATGAGACGAACACTGGATGATTATTTTGTTCCATTATTTAACATTGATAATATAATAATTAAATAGTCTAATTTATAAATCATAACCAATTGTGAATAATAGATGACAAAAAGAAATACAAGTTAATAATATTATTTACTTACATCTTTTATAATTTCTAGTAGCCGAGCTAGATCATGATGTGAGGCAAGTTGACATTTCGTGGTAAAATCAAATGCCAAGGCTGATAGAGGTGAGCACATTGTATTGGTTTTTTAGAAAAGAGAAAAAAGTATTATTACTTAAAAATAAACAAAAAAGTGAATGTAAAGCAGCTTAGTTTACTAAAATACTCCCAACAAGAGGATAAAATACTTTACATGATACGTATTTATAGGGTGAAAAACGAATTCAGTGTATTCAGCTCTCAATTACTGAGGAAATCATGAATGGTCACATTTGAGTTAAACTGTAGATATATGCATCACTATCAAATCGACAAAGATAATCTGATAATTTAATTTTACTCGAAAGGAATTAATTTTACGCATATATGCAAAACCTTATATCAAAACAGACTAAAATTAACTCATTAAACAAGAAAATATCTTTGTATTTGACCGTCAGACACCTTTTTCTAGTGTGAGGGTGAGTGAAACTACTACCCTGCCTAAAACTAAGGTAGGTGGAGTGGGCTTCGAAACTCGATCCAGTGGTTAAAACTCGACTTCTTCAACGCTAAACCTAGACAACTCAAAAAATTTCAGGTTTTTCATAAGATAAACCTAATGATTATTTGCTTATTCAGAAATAAATAAACAAAATCACTCGACACTTTTGAATACAAAACGACCAATGAAACATCCAGCCTGAATAGTATATAATGGTTAAGATATGGAGACATCAACTTCTGATTTCTACTTCTATAACTAAAAGAATAGAAATATCTTAATTTAACAAGATATAAAGGCCTTCAGTTTGATTTCAAGTAAACATCAATGAATAGTACTGATTAGTGGTAGACTAGGACAAAGAAGTTTCCTAGTACCTGGCTCTTGATATAAAATAACCATCATCCCACTGAAAATCATTTTTAAATAAAAATAGATTCACTTTATACTAGATATTTTTAAGTGAACGTTTACAAACCAGATTATATCTCATTTTTTAGTTAATTACAACGAGAAATTCCTATTGCTATTTCGCTTTTTCCATAAAAAAATGATTGCAGAAGTAAACTTAACAAATAAGTAAGAATATGCGATAGCAGATTTGTTTCAATAACTATATTCTATCTCATAATCATTCACGAAAGTAAATAAATGCAACAACACTAGCAATCTACTTGAGTGTGCAGTCAGCAAGGTTTTTTTCCAAGAACTGGATTGAAACGAAAACAAAAAGAAGTATACTATGTGTAGCAATCATTAATATTTTAAATGTCAATACCGAAGCAACTTAAAAATCTAATTCTTTGTGATAAATAACAGAAATACGCCATTTTCAGTTAAATATTCGCGGAGATTTACTGATCGCTGCAAACTTAAACTAAGTCTGATACAATAATATTTTACTACATGAGCGAAGAGTTGTAAGGCACAAATATGAAATAACACTAAATCAGAGGTGAATAAATAATTCATGATATATTTACTGACAATTCAAGTCCTTTTTTCAACTGTATTTATTAATATCAAGTACAATCATTAAAGACTCATGGCTATTCAAACCAAGCGAATAACTGATTATCTTTGCAAATACAGTCATTCAGTTAGTCATAGTCAACGTAAGACCTAAAACAAACTAATTTTGACTCACCCAACCAGCACAGATGAAGTAATCAAAAAGATACTAAAGGTCTTTTATGGGAATTCTGGTAGGGAATATATATTGTTAACTCCTAATTCTTGTGCTCATTTGGGAAAATTTCAGTATCGAGGCCAGAAAATACTAAACAGAAGAGCACAACACAGGGAAGGATAGAAAATGGATGCAACTGCGCTACCATAATCAGAAATGTACCATATGATTCAGTTTTTACAACAACTCTTTACATTTCAACATGGTTTAAACCAAAAGTTTGATCCCTTGACCTATCCAAATTGAGCTTATTTCCAGCTAACGAGTATGTCAGCTGATTGATTCACTTCTTCAACTAGTATTATTTTATTGCATATGACAGTTCGAAACCTGTCTTAATTCATGTAATTTCCAGGGCATTTACAGCTCATAGATTCCTTCATTATTAGACCGTCAGTAACAAGTGTAGGGTATTATTTTACTCAACAAAAGATTAAAGCTTATTTGTTGGTGTAAAAATCAGAACGATACAACACGACTTTTAGTTCATATTATTATTTTGTAGTAAATCGCTAATTATGGTACTATAATAATAGGAGATACGCATTTGTCAAGTTAGGGATTTTCTTACATAACTTCTCCACAAAAGATCAAAATCATGCTAATATTACAGTCTCTATTTATCATTTGAAATTCTTCTATAATTTGTTAATCATTTAAGTGGCGGTTAAACATAAATCTATTCAGACAATAGTATCGAAAGTCTCGAAACCTGAAATAAGGTAGAGCCTTTTAAAAATTTATCAGCTATTGCTTTGTTGTGTCATAAATCTCTTCAATACAAAAAGGACATATGTAGAAACTGAACAGAAAATGTGAAAACTTACAGTTATCCTTTACTAACTCTTTTTCTGAGACAACTGAAGATATCTGACAAAATTTTCTTAATAACCCAATCAATGGCCAAAGTAATAATTTTTTACCAATATTATCATCATTACCATTAATTTCAGAAGATTTCTGGCATAAATCATGAACCGATTTAATGGCAACATTATAAAAGAAATGAGCAACAGCTAATGAATCCGTTTGAGTATTCGGCGTGGTATTATTCTTGGCATTGATTATTTCTAACAACTTTATAAACCAACAAAACAAATCATTGAAAAAAAACAAGGGAAAGAATCAGTTATCTTTCTTATAATACAATACGACTTAATGAGCTCACATATAATTTAATTATTCACTACTGTAACTCACTAACCAAGAACAAACTTATACACTCGGCTTCGTGCTGGTGATGATACAACCCAGCTGTATAAACATCATAGTGTATGAACATGCGACTGACAATATTCTGTGTGTTTAAGAGAAAGTTCAACGAAATTTAGAGTATATGGTAATAAGTATTTAATTCATATCATACTACTACCTAATCAAAGTAAGTGAGATGAAAACCACATAAACAGCATGAGATATATAACTAATTACTGTTACATGTAACCATCCTTTGTGTTGACCAAGTCGTAAATTACCACTATGAGGAACACGATGAGATAAAATGCTCAAAAAGTCCCAAGTACTGTAATAGTCGATGTATTTTGTTAGCAATGATAATCTGACGATACTGCACATGAATTTAAGCATTCAATTTTCAAAACAGATGTAGCAAAGACGTTTAGACAGTATGTTACAGATGATTTCATGATTCATCGAAAATGAATGCAAGATATGAAGACTGTTAAAATGAATGAAGAGAATACTAATCGACAGATAATATGTAATCATACGACTTAGCTCAGTAATGGATACTCAAGAGACAAAGTAACTAACTAGAAAAACCTGAATAAATTGATATCAAAGACAAAACTACTAACAAGAACAGATCTCTGTTCTCATGAGACATGATTATATATTTAAAGTAATAACGTAGAAATAAACATGATTAGATATCGCAAGCAATAGAAGGGTGTCAGTTGTGTAGGCCACTTGTTTGCCATAGAATTAAGATCTGCTTTTTAGGCCGAAGTCTTGCTTATATTATCACAGCACCACTGATTTTTATACAATGAGTACGGTTCGCAGCATAGTACATTTTATGGATTATCATACTTACCTTATTATGAGTAAAGATAGCAATCAAGTGTAGTTGTATCTGAAAGTACAACTATACGTAACCGACAAAACTCTACAAAAGTTACTAAAAGTGAAGGATCAAAATAGGTGCTTATTAACGCCTATTTTCCTATTAATACAAACAACGTTCATAAATGTGGCAGATACCTGAACAGAAACTAATGAAAAATATTTTTCATAACTTGATCTACTGGCCAAATCATCCGAGGAATTATGAAGAAATTCGGGGATTGTTGTCAAAATATTCGCCAATGTTGAAATCATTTTTGGTTGAATACGTGGATCAATCGAAGTGATCGGACCAGTCGAAGGTAATATCCCAGGACAAAGAGACAGAGAAGCTAGTAACAAGCTTCTAACACCTAAATTGTGGGCATTTTCAGATTTTTCAACGTTCGTATTATTTATAACAACTGGATGGACCAACAAACGGGATAGTAAACGACCACAAGATTTACGTAACCAGATTGGTGCTTTGGGTAACTGAACAGCTCCCTTAATTTGAACAGCAAAGGAATAGATTAACAAAAACTGTTGTTAATGTACAATAGATTACTTATTAATCGACAGTTTAGCTGCCAAACAATAACAAATTATCTACTGAAAAAGTGGTAAACTGTAATGCGTCAAAACATTTACACCAGGGGACAACGTTAAGCAAAACATCACTCAGAAGCGATCATCAATTAACATTAGGAAAAACTATCAAAGTAATGAGAAGATGTTTAGAAGTTCAAGAGCTGGGTAGTGGATAGTTGAGAGACTAAGTATCCACTTACCTCCTTAATTATTTAAAAAACAAGCACTTGTGCAAATAGGCATCAAAATAAATATGCTCCATACAAATAGTTAAATGAAATTGTGAGATAAAGGAATGATGAGGAGTTATCGATAAAATTAAATAAGTGTTATAAAGCTCGGTTTTTCTTCGTCTTTACGAATGGGATGTTAATTTGTCTTAGACAAATATCTACACTAGATTCCCTCTCAGTGTCTATTCCACAGGACTTCAACACAACTCAGACCAGGAACACGTGATTAGCCTGACTAAAACGTAAATATATTTCCACACCGAAAATCGATAGCAATCCGACACAATTCAACAATAACCAATAATAATAATAATAAGGATAGGAGAATATATAACTCATCTAACGCCTATCAGACTATCTACAAGTCTGGCTGAGCAAACAACCAATCATTATCATTCTCACCCACACATCAATGAGAGAGAAGAGTTTGTAGTAAGAAAAAGTTCAGTTCATGAAAAAATACAACCAAGAAGAATTTGTTGACTTAGTGGAATGCAAAAGAAAACTGCTGAAGAATCGCTATTGTTTTTATTCTAAGATATATCTGGTAACGTCTCTAGCCATCATTTTTAAAACTTTAGCCAAACAATCATGACAGATCGGCGGGTGTCAGTGATATACAGCTTTTTCCATTTCGTCTTAGCACCCATAAACAATGCATGACGTAGAAACCAGTGGAATGACATCCTTAACGCATGTCCAAACCGGAGAAGCCCATGTCTCAAGATAGTGACAGCGACAGAATTATCGTCACTGTGCCCTAATATATAATGGATTGCAACTTCAGCCTCACAATTGTCCCATATTAATTCTAAAGGAGGTACTATGATGGGCGAAAATGAATGATCACTAGCTACATTGCCGGAACCAGTTTTATTCTAGAATAGTTATTCGCTGTTCGACAGGTAGACCAATTATACAATCTTGGTTGAATATTTTGTATATAAATGATAGCTTTAATACTACGTTAGCTGCCAAACAGTCCTAACTTGCGGTAGCTATTTAACGAACGTCTCATCAAGTTATGAGTCCGATCACCTGAATTATTTCCATATTTTATTAAATTGATGTGAATTTTGTAACGACTCACTAAATCTAAAACTGAATGCAAGAGATGAAATAAAAGTTTCATAAAACAACTGGAAACTGAAGAGTGGATGTGTTACATCAGAATCTACTAGTGCATCAAGTCACCTTGGGCACAATCAATAATCATAAGACTAAGGCTAAAAGAGTTCGCAGTTGTTGTTTAGATATTAAATGACCAGCATCAACACAATTCTATTGTCCTATATAAATAGTCAAGGCAAGGTAATATTATACACGGTATTGCCTTATAGTTGCCTTTTTCCTGACCCGTTCCCACTGATTCATTACTATTTCTTGTTCTTTGACATCTATATAACTGTCCTTTTAATGCAGTGAATTTCCTTACGATTAGATTTCCTGAATTAATACTTTTGTTGAACAAATATGATGAAGAAAATAATAAGTTCAAACTGTAACAGAATAAAGGAAAACAATAGTAGTATATATTACAATTAAGGAATAAACTAACCTTAACACGAATTTGTGTACCACCTTGAAGAATCATTAATTCTTTCATTGCAATGTGACGTGGTAGCTCAAGCAACAGTTTCCAAAGAATTTTTCGAGATTCACGAATGTATGCCATTAACGAAGAAACTCTTTCCGAAGTGAAATCATTACTTCGTAAATATGAATCCATTCCGAAAGCAGATTGAAATAAACTTGCAATTAAATCACCCAGAAATGAAGTGGTGCTGACTAATCGTTGTAACTGAAAAGATTTAGACTCTCTCAAGGAAAGCAAACACTTGATAATCTACATAATAAATAATATAAAATGTAACGAACAGTTGTTTTGTTTAAAGACAAAGATATTCGAAAAAAGTGTCATAGTGTTATTTAAAGCGAGAAAATAAGTTTGGTGTATCGCGCTGGTAAATTTATTACATTACGATAATACATACTCGTAGTGTAGTGAAGGAGAACACGGGTGACGACAACCAAATTGTATTTAGCACAAATTACAGAATTACTTGGTAAAATAGAAAAACCATATAGTAAATCGTTAATTTGCAAAATATTATTCCATCATATCAAACCGGACTGTTGCTGTTGCAAACCTCAATCCACTGTCTCATATTTCATTGTTCATGCGATTTCTTACAAATTCCATTGTGTTCTTGCTCTTCCTTTCTTGATCTTCTCCATCTTCTGCTGCCAGACATTACGTTCTTTTAACTCACGTTATATACTACTTATATCAATATAAGTAGCACGCACCACAGTAGTAGAAGTCGAGTTGGTGCAATTTAGTTACCAAGTACGAATTTATGGGTACAATGTTTGACAATACTCTAAGGTTAGAAAAATCATGTAGCTAAGTAAATGAAAGCAGAAAGTGTGAGATACGCACATGTAACTCATTTGTCCAACCAAGTACTTACTTATATCATTGAGCTGCTGTTTAGAACACAAACGTCGTTAAGAAATGTTTTTACAGTTTTTAAAAAAAACTTGCTTGTCAAGAAAGGGTTTATCACACGAATACTCGATCAAGATAAAGCTCTAATAAGAACAAATAGCAATTTCCGACAAAAACTAGACTCTGAAAGTTAGGTTTAGCTAAACTGCTCTAATTTATTTGCAGAAATCTTGAACTAAAAATCAAAAGTTTAACTAGCTCCTTTGCCATCAATAAATTTGTGCTTTTTCATTGAACTTACTCTAACCTGCTTTTGAAAGTAATTGTACCTTATGAAGCTCTAAGTTAAATCATTTATTTGAATATACACAATTAGCCATAATACAGTTACTTCCAAAAATGAACCAATTGCGAGCGCTAATGACACTACACGGCTGCAAAAACCTTAGTAGGTGGAGAAACATTCGAACCTGGAACCGAGTGGCTAAAAGTCGAACACCTTAACCACTAAGCCATCAATCCATTATTCTGATTCGTCTGACAATCATTTTGTTAATTTTACCTCGTCAAGCCGTAGTATGAGATGGTGCTACTTTACTTAAGTATGATGCGTTTTTAGTCACTTATGTGACCAAATACAGATTCGTGTACCCAGCCCCTGAATGCCCTGGTACGGCCGAGAGTGGGGAGAGTCCGCTCTCCCTCTCGAAATACTCTCACACGGCCACGCGTATACAGCCTCTGCCAGGGAAGTCCTACTCATTGCCTTCTCGTGGCGGGGGTGTTGTTTACGAAAATGAGAGGACGAAAAGCGAATGTCCGGCGCTTTAACCGGATTCCAAACCAATGGTGCACATGGGCTCCAGTATCCTGCGGGAACAAATGGCGTATGAACCAATCGTTGGTCACCGGCTACCATGGGACTGCATCTCCTTACGATGCTCCACTGCCTTGTGGGTTAGACCTTTAGGTCAAAGGCTCGGGGTGTGGCCCCCTAAGATAACCACCTGCTTCGGTTTGGGCACCCGGGCAGTATCACAGCCCACACACAAATGATGAACTCTTTATGTCTATGGAAATTATTTTTCTCGCTTTGAAAAACAATCAATTGATTCAAATTATTATCATTACAATTATTGTCATTATTAATACTATTATTATTATTACTATTATCGTTATTATTATTATTATTATTATTATTTTCCACATTATTCACCCTCTTTTATACTTATACAGCGGCTCGTCTTTGGTGGAAATTCGACTGTATCTAAACGTTCTCGAGTCACTGTCCGGTTGAAAATTGTATGTTACCACCGAATACGAGGACTGAAGCAGTTTTTCTGAAACCACGTGCACCATTCAAACTGGCTGCCTTCAACGTTCGCACATTTATGCAGGTCGGACAACAGATAGGGCTGGCTATGTCTTTGGAAAGTCTTAATATCGATGTTTGTTGTCTATCCGAGACCCGTATTCAAGACTCTGGCGAAGTACTACAAATTCGATCTCCATCTGTCGCTTCGAAAAGCTTGTTTTACGTGCGCTTATCCGGGGACCCTGTGGCATCTTCGTCTGGTCTTGCTGGCGTTGGTGTCGCACTAAGCGCTAGAGCTGAGGCAGCACTAGTCGATTGGATCCCCATTAACAGTCGGTTATGTGCTGTTAGATTAGAAAGTTCCATCAAAGTGAGAAGAAATCGGCGTGAGAAACGATGTCTTTTCGTCATCTCCGCCTATGCCCCGACAGATTGCAGCCCGGATGCAATCAAGGATGAGTTTTACCACCAGTTATCAGTTCTTCTCCAGAAAGTGCGTTCGACAGATATTGTAGTACTAGCCGGAGACTTGAATGCTCAGGTCGGGCGTCTAGGCACAGAAGAGAGTCGTTTAGGTGGCCGATGGGGACTCGTTGGTCGCAGGTCAGATAACGGGGACCGTCTACTGCAACTTTGCACAGACCACAACCTGTTTCTGGCTAGCACTAACTTTCGGCACAGTCATCGCCGATGTGCCACCTGGCGTCCTCCCTCTGCATCTCAAGCCTGGACTCAGATTGATCACATCGCGATCAGCTACCGCTGGCGTGGTTGTGTACAAGACTGCCGCTCCTTTTGGAGTACCTATCTGGACTCTGACCATGCCTTGGTCTGCGCCAATCTTGCCTTACTTTTCAGTGGACAACGAAGTGACCGCCATCAACGGATTGATGTTAGCAAGCTGGTTGCAACTTCTGTTGCAAGTAAGTATCGAACCGAGCTAGCCTCTAGGCTAGCTACCACTCCACCGAAAAGTATAGATGAGCATTGGTTGCAATTGCATGACGCCATGAAAATGGCGGGAACAGTCAGTTGTGGGTTTGCGAAACGTCCCGCTTTTAAGCACTGGGTTTCTTCTGGTTCCTTACAACTCATTGAAGCCCGTCGGTCTACTCCGGGTGACCGTGAGTTTGACCATAAACGAAGGATGTTACGTAAGGAAATTGGGCAAAGCTTGCGTAAGGACCGAGAAGCCTGGTGGTCGATGCGTGCTAATGAGCTGGAAGCAGCAGCTGCATCTGGTAACTACCGGAAGCTCTTCCAGCTCATCCGAGCCACTGGCAGCAAGAAGTCTGGTGTGAGTGAAACAATCTGCGAGGATGATGGGATGCCAATCACTAACATCCATCGACGTCTTGGACGATGGGCAGAATTTTTCGAAGGGCAGTTCAACTGGCCTGCTGCTCCGGCAACATCGGTCAGACTGTCCTGCCCTCCATGGCCGGTGACGACTGATCCACCAAACGAGGAGGAAGTCCGCAAGGAACTCCAACTCTTGAAGCGTTACAAATCACCTGGCCCAGATGACTTACCTCCGGCTCTTTTTAAAGATGGTGGTGACTTTTTGACTAAGGAATTGACGACGTTGTTTACAAAGGTTTGGGAACTCTAGAGTGTACCAACGTCATGGAATGAGTCGATAGTTGTCCCTATCTTTAAAAAGGGTTCACGTCGTTCCTGTAACAACTATCGGGGGATAAGTTTACTTCCGATTGCGTCCAAGCTATTGGCTTCCGTCATTCTTCGTAGGTTGTTCAAAACCCGAGAAAGATTGACTCGCGAGGAGCAGGCTGGGTTTCGTTCTGGTCGAGGATGTATTGATCATATCTTCACCCTCCGCCAAATGTTAGAACACCGCCATACTTTCAAAGGCCAACAATCGTAGTGTTTCTTGACATCAGGGCTGCCTTCGATTCGTTGGACAGGACTGTTCTCTGGGATTGTCTATTGAAGAAGGGTGTGCCTGAGAAGTTTATTAACATCCTAAAAGCCCTATATAAAAACACCTCAGGCAGAGTGAGGGCATACAACCACCTCTCTCCATTGTTCCATTCGAGCAGTGGGGTTAGGCAGGGTTGCCCAATCTCACCATTCCTCTTCAACTTTGCCATCGATGACATTCTGGAAACAGCTCTGATGAATGTAAGTAATGGTGGTGTGGATCTGTTGCCTGGAGAAAGACTTCTCGACCTTGAGTATGCGGACGATATTGTCTTACTGTGCGATAATGCCCAAGGCATGCAATCCGCACTTAATCAGTTGGCAATCAGTGTCCGTAGGTATGGTATGTGCTTTGCACCTTCGAAGTGCAAAGTACTTCTACAAGACTGGCAGGATTCTAATCCTGTACTCACCCTGGATGGTGAGCAGATAGACGTAGTTGAGAAGTTCGTGTATCTGGGTAGCTGCATAAGTGCTGGTGGGGGTGTGAGTGATGAGATCAATGCACGAATAGTGAAAGCCAGAGCGGCTTATGCCAATCTGGGCCACCTTTGGCGCCTTCGTGATGTTAGTCTGGCTGTAAAAGGTCGGATCTACAACGCGTCGGTGAGAGCAGTTTTGCTCTATGCTTGTGAAACCTGGCCTCTCCGAGTTGAGGACGTTAGACGACTCTCTGTGTTCGATCATCGCTGTCTCCGAAGGATTGCTGACATTCAGTGGCAACACCATGTCAGTAATGCAGAGGTTCGGCATCGTGTGTTCGGGCACAGAGATGATAATTCAATTGGTGTCACCATCTTGAAACACCGACTTCGGTGGCTTGGACATGTTCTCCGAATGTCGTCCCAGAGAATTCCACGTCGTGCATTATTTGCCGACTCTGGGACTGGTTGGAAGAAGCGGAGAGGTGGTCAGTGCATGACATGGTGTCGTGGCATGAAAGAAAGCTGCAAAGGACTGGCTTGTGTTGGTCCTTCACGACTCCCTGGTTGGGGTCTGAGAGATGGTGCTACACAGTGGCTAGAGACGTTATCAGATATGGCTCAGAATAGAAGCCAGTGGCGATCCTGCTGTAACCTTCTTTTACTTTCTTCATAAAAAGTGGTTGTGTCTCCTTACCTGAAAGATTTCTTCTGATTGTACCTTTTCGTTCCCCGTTACTACCACACTACCTTACACCAATCTCTTCGTTATTGTTCTCTTTTTCTTTTGCGCTCCTTAGTTTTTTTTTCTACTTCTCTTCGAATTTTCATTGTTTTGTGTGGCGCATATATATTGGCGCTCTCTTGTACCAATATTCATGTGTTCAAATAATAACCCAGCTTCGAGCAAAACCTTTTGTGTGAAGGCTAGTGATACTAATCAGCAGCTAGAACGGAGGCGGGATGGAGTTCGATCTAGTAATTAACTGGTTGAAAGTCAAATGCCCCAATTCTTAAGCCATTGTTATGTAGAGAGTAAAGTTGGAAAATTAGGTATATGCTTTAATTACTGTATTTGTTTAGATGAGTATTCAAATAGCTTGATCAACCTACGTTTAATACATTCTTAATATTTCGAGACTACACGGCTGAGCATGAGTGGTAGTTGCAACTCTAGCTACTAGTATATGATTATCATTACATTAACAGTGGTTAAATATGATATGACGAGTTGGTAAGAAATTCTGAATATATGATGTTAGGAGAGAAGTAAACCACAGTACTTAGTGATGAACATTTAACTAATGACTTGGTTAATTCAAGCTTCAACGATATTATCTCCTTAAAGCGTAGTCCTAAATAAGACGCTTATAATACCTAAACTACGGAACGCCAAAAAAATAGGAAGGCGCTGACTCCCTATACTAATCAAAACGAGTCACTGGCTCTCAAGGTGAAATAAAAACATCATTACGTGATAATCTAGGATTCGAAAATATATGTGCATAAAGCGACAAAAGATGGAAATTAGCTTATTCTAGTCAGATATTGTATTTTCATTTTACAATTACGCTTATATGTACTTTGCATGAATCGACAACCAGTAAAAGCATTCATAAACTACTCACAATTACCTTCATCAGTTTTTCAATTCTTTCTTCATCTTTTTCCTTCCGAGGACAGATGAACTTTTCATAATTTTCCAAACGCATACTTAAGGGCAATGAAACTCCGGTTTCTAAAAGCGGATAAACGCCATATGCGACAACAAATTGAAGGCATGAAGACAATTGTTTTTCCTGAAACACACTGAAAATAGGGATGTCAGCGCTATCGTTGGCTGCATTGCTTTCATATAAGTCATTACAAGCGTGCAGAAAATTAAGACAGCACAAATAAAATGCCTCATGAACTTCTGTGCCATTAAGATCAAACAGTAAGTTTTCATCATTAGACTTTTGTACATACGCTTCAACTCCTTCACGAAGTCGAATACAAGGGTCTGGATCGGAGAAGTCAGATGATGGGAGTAGGGATGTAAGCTGACTAAACAATAATCGCAATTTATCCATAACGAGATCATAGGTAGCCACCTACATGGAAATTAAAAAGGGCACACACTAGACACTGTAGGAGTTTCAAAACTAATATAAAATATAAAGGATTACATGGCTTTTCACAAGAATGTCCAATATACAGCCATAGTCAAACATACTTTGAGTTTATAGCTCACTACGTAATCGCTACTTTTATTACTGCGTTAACTTTAGCAACTACATGTTATTTACTTTCGAGATATTTGGGAAAGATCTGTTACAGACATATACTTAGCAGACTCCATACATCTTTCAGGCAGATAACAAAAACTTTCGAGACAATAAACCAACCAAACAGAGTTCATGGTTACCATACATGAAACAAAGGTTATCTGTACTAGCACCAAGCCAACGAGCAAGAAGTAGTGTCCGAATGTATAAAATAAGTCGAGTATAAATATTAAATAATAAAGACATAAATCCGGATAAGTACTCGTAACTTGGTAATTTATCACATTTTGGATACTATCCGCCTTAAACGTTAAACTGGATGCAACAACGACAGGACAGGAAATAAAAAACAATGTATTGAGAGAGCAATATTAAATAAAATCAAATATCTGTAGCCCACAACTCCATCTTACAAACAAGGGAAAATCACATTACAATATACTGAATAAAATTTAGGGAAGAACAATTTTAAACCCCAAAATTAGGACTGAGCTGGAGTTTTTCTTCAAACTAAGTTGAAATCTAGGAGTAACACATAAAACGCTGTGAGACTTTTGCAGTTGTCCCCACTGTTTTCACACAATTTACACAAGCCTAATCAAATTCACTGCAGAACTACGACAATTTCTAATCGTTTAGGAGAAAGCCATAAATTATTTATAGTTTGGATAAATCCCGTAGTATTCATCTTGAGATAATCTGCAATACATTGGACTGGGGAAATCCCTTGGGGGATTTCCACTATTCAGAAATGAAGTCGCGTCGTTTCGCAAACTTAACACTTAAAGAAATATTTGCCCACTTACAACGCAATTTCTAAGATGCTTCGTTCTTCACATATTTTTAATGGAAATTTCAAAGGAAAACAATCTACAGAGCAAATGTTCTTGTCCTTCACAACGACAGATGAGCTTCTAATATATGGATTCAATTTACTGACATGGTTTGACAGATCACTTAAAGTCGTTACAACTTGTGGAAAGCTGATATTACAAGTGCGTGACCTGTCGGTGTAAAAATAGGCTGAGTGGTTCAGAGGTTAAGCGTTCGTGCGCAAAATCGAAGGTTCTGGGTTGGAATCACTCGTGAGACCGTGGATGCGCACCGCTGAGGAGTCCCATACCAGGACGAAACGGCCGTTTCGTCTTTCCAGGTTTCCAATGATGGCCTAACAATCATCGATTCATGACCTCAATCAAAGTAAAGATAGGTGTTAGTGGAGCTTACTTGTTAACAACACCGCGAGAAATATATGGAAACACATGAGAAAATGCTTGAAGAACTAAGGACTTTAGAAGATACATTGCAAGACAGAAAATTCAGAGATCAGTTCATCAGTTGTTTAGTAAGAATGATGTGATAAAATTATAGGAGTAATCTTCGCAAGTCTATAAAGGAGATTTTAGTTTACGTTAGGAAAGCTAACCGGGCAATTAATTACATTTCATATGGGACTAAAACTGAAACAGGGATAAGGGATTTTAGATCCTACAGAAGGATTCAAAGTTAAAATTAGAATAAAAAATATTGATTATGTATTCTATGTTCGCGGTTTCAAAGTGCTCCCTGTTACGAAAAATACATCAGACGAGTGATGGATGCTGAGAGCCGAACTTTCTTCCACAACTCAAGAGATAAAGTACATCAGTATGTATGGTGATCCAAAGACAACATAGACGTTACACAATAAGGATGGGTTATTCAATATATATATATATATATATATATATAACTTTTGGTTAGATGTAGGAATGTCACAAAATACTTTATTCAACAGCAATCGTCACAGACCTGAAAGATTGTAGTACATACACTTTTTGTTTAGTCAGAAAAAATCATACTCATTTACTAAGTCAATCAGCTACAACGTAAGACCAAGCACATATATGCATCGGCCCAAGTTACCACACCTCAATAGCACAACAAAATCAACACCAAGTTAATATGCACAGTTACCTCAATGGCAGTAAAAAATCAACACTTCATATAAGGATATGATACAGGGAGAAAGAATTAACGCCGTAGAAAGTTAGTAACTTCAAGGACTGATTCTATGTTTTGGTTTGTCCGCCCCTAACTTTCTTCCACCCATACCCAACACTAGTCGGCATTGTGCGTCGTGGTAATCGGTGTTGAGGCATACGTTATGTAGAAATTACTAATTGAAGTATATTTTCAGTAATGCGACTGGGAAATATGGGAAAAGAAATTTCCCAATGAAACAAACAAAATGCGAAACAGCGACGGAAACTGGATGACAATGGAGAAATAAAGAAAATGAAAAAAAGCCACCAACGGTGCTTTTTTGGTTGATAAGTCTTTGGTAGACTACCACCCTGAGCCACAGAACATTCTAACAAAGTTCCTAAATAAAATTCGAGTTAACCATAGTGTTTAAAAAAAGGTTAATCTAATCGAACATTATTGTGAGTAGTTTGCTAGAATTAACTGACCCAAAAACTAGATATACACATGATTTGCGAAAGGCTGGAAAATATATTTGCATCATCTTCCTAGATGACTCTATAGTTCAAACAAAAAACCCGATAAGAGTGGTCAAGAGTACCGAGGAAAATGTTGAGCCCCGACCATGAAGACATTTTAAGGTAATCCTAGGACCGGAAAAACAACGAAGTCTTTTCTTAACTAGCGCTCGGAGTAGAGATGACACCGACATTCGAGAAAGACCTAGCAAGTCTCTAGAAGATAGAATAAAGGCGTCACTAGCTGGACAAGATCTTGGCTTAGTAGGTTTTAAGTAATCACTTCTTGAAAGCGAATGTTACCAAGACCTGTATGGATAAGTCGTTGTCTTTAAGAGTTTTGTCTACAAATGCTCGTAGTCTGCGACATAAATTCCATGAACTAGGAGTATTTGTGGACGGATTAAAGGCACTCATAGCAGCTTTGATCGAAACTTGGATAGTCCATGACTTTGACGTCACTCCAGGATTATTAGAATACAACTACCTGAGGAATAGATAGGAAACAGACACAAGAAAAGGGCTGGGGTCCGTAAGGATATAGCTAATAATATAGATTCCCATCCCTTTATTTGTAAATCTCATGACAGTGGAACTTGTAAAGTCATTAGCTGTGAACTCACTTTGAAGGTTGCACATTTATACTCGGTGTCATCTATCGTAGCCCAATCTGCATAGCTGATAACTTTATTTGTGTCCTTTCACATAGCTTAAAATAGTCATTTGAATAATCTTTTTCATTAGTTTGATTGCACCTGGGAAGCATCATCGATGAACAAGGATCAGATGCAGATGTAAAGGCGAGGATTGGCAAGGCAAGGGCCACATCACTATTATTACATAACACATGGAACCCAACTTTCAACCAATATCAGTCACAATCTTCAATACGAACGTCAAAACGGTTCTACTGTACGGAGCTGAAACTTGGAGAATTACAACAACCATCATCAAGAAGGTACAAGTATTTATAATTAGTTGTCTACGCAAGATACTCAACATCCGTTGGTCAGATACCATCAGCAACAGCTTTTTGTGAGAGAGAATAAACCAGCTTCCAGCTGAAGAGGAAATTAGGAAAAGGCACATATTACGTAAATCATCAAACTGCATCACGAGGCAAGCCCTAACTTGGAATCCTGAAGGGAAGAGGAAAAGTGGAAGGCCAAAAAACACATTACGTCAGGAACTAGCAGATATGAAAAGGAGGAATAACAACTGGAAAGGATTTCCTAAGGCAGGGTTGAATGGAGAGTGCTGGCGGGCGGCCTATGCTTATCCACGAGGAGTAACAGACGTGAGTAAGCAATTAATTTGACGACCGACGGATCAGTAGTTACGAAGTCTCTGTTCTCTACCTAATACACCGGACTAATTATTGCGTCTTTCCAGTCTCCTGACAGTCTGGACAGCCGCAGAAACATCACACAGTTTGGTCATAAGTTCAGCAATTACATCCAACAGGGCTTTCATAAACCTAGGGTGAATAGGACTACTGGACTTATCAGCTCTTTGGCATCGTCTCTTGCCAATATTAACGATTTTTCTTGTACCAAAAGTGATGTGATCCTACCACTTCTCTGAGTTCGCCTCTTTACATACGAGAGTAACCTTTTCGGACTATTTTCACAATCCCTATCCAGTTGTTTTTCATATGACTGTCTCGCCTTACTTATCAACGCTTTACAAGCATTCCTAGTCCTACAATAACTAGGTCTGTACTGTTTTAAACCAGTAGATATTACCATACTCCAGTGCTTTTCCTACGTCCAAGAAGTTTATTGACTTGTTTAGTTATCGATAGTGGACAGTTATTTAAATAACCAATTGGTCTACGTTGTACAAGGCATGGTATAAACGAGGGTTTGTTCAACAGCTTCGGACAGAAACGAGTGACTAGAATGGATCCGATACGATTGCTTGTCAGTCTTACTTTTAAATTTGTTCATGTTGTTGGCCATTCAATGGTTTGCTTTTAAAGCAAAAACGAAGAAATCCGTAACCCTCTTTGTTTCGTCAATCTTGTATGTGGCTCATATACTCAACTGGCGTACTCTACAAGAAGATGGTTGAAAGCGTGTTGAACGACTCAGTTTGCGGACTTCAAGCTGTTTTATTCAATTGTACCGTCTTGTCAACCGATTTACGCGCTCAAAGTACAGACGCCAACATCCTAATATAGCGGTTAGTAAAATCGAAAAATAAATGATTCTTTAAGTCTTCAACACTGATATTGACATCACTAGTCTTACCGGACACGTACTAGCTAAATGTGCTCGGTCACGCATCCGCACCAAGTCATGAGTGGGTACACAGTGCTGTAAATCTCTCACAACTACTAGCCAACTTAGACCAAACGTTTCTCGACATATCGATAGCTCTCCAAAGTTATCTTCGGATCTCTCTAGTTCTAACTTCTGATTTGAATGAGTAGGTATACCTCCATAATAAAGGTGTTGCGTGTAAAGGCGTTGTTTAATATCGAACACCTGTGGCATCTTTAGTGGCGAGTCCTACGTGAGCCTGAACATTAAACAGTAAACTGTCAGTTTGTTCCTTAATGTAAAATTGCCTATAATTTTTAACTGATAATTTTACATATAGTGATATTGTTCTATATTTAGGATATTTTTTCGCCCTTTTGTGTATCTTATCTTCATTATGACGGAATATACACCTAAGCTGTTTCAGATTGAGACTCTTTCGCCTTCCACTTTTAAACTCAGGCAATTGTGTTGCGATAATATAAAAGCCTGGTTCTGCCATGCAGAAGCTGACTTTCACGAGCATGGTGTGCACAATTCCTAACAGTAGTATGGGCACTACCAGGCACATGATAAGCTTTAGAAACTGAACAGTCCATGGACATCTCCCTTGCACATGGTCTTTGAAAAGGACAGTAACGATTGGCGTCCAACTAGTGTTTATCGGCGACTGAATACGAAAACGATTCCCGATCATAACCCTCTGTCACACATCGATGACCTGGCAGCTACCTTATAAGATGCAACTGTTCTCTCGACATATAAGAATGTTCGTCTTAACTTTATCGAACAGTTTCACAGTATTTGGGCGCCGAGTTGATGTGGAACATTAAAGAGGAAGAATGTATTTGTAAAACCTCAGCAAATGAATTTAAAGTAAATACAACGTTTTGCCTGGCAATCTGGTCCAAGCTTTATCAAGGAAATATAATCAGGCATCAAAATTATAGAATATAAATAGGTACACGGTTTTCCGATTCACTGTATTCTAAATAGGTCAATTCAATCAACGTTAACAATGTTTAAAGTAGGTAATTACTATGTCAGAGACCTGTGGTATGAAACGACAAGTGTTAAGATAACAGATATACGTAAGTGGTGAGAGAAATGTCGGTCACTATATGAAGTCTCTGGTCGGTGATTTTTTACGAAAACATACAATTTTTATATATCATATGAACCAAATATGTCACAGCATGTATAAAATGAAGATAAATAGACAAAATAAAAGAGTGGATTCTCAAAAAGACCAAGGATTGTTTTGTGTCCAGATACATCTACGAGTGTATTTTAATATTCACTCGATAGAAAACACAATGAAGGTGCAATTGCACACGAACACTTTAGATCAGTATATGGCAGTTCTTGGAATTATTGCTCAAACACCACCATAATTGTGAATATATATCTGAACCTACGAACACAGACTAATCTGATAATCACAACTCATATTTTTACGTACTCGTTTTTGAGTCCTTTTATCTAGTCCTTTGTGTATGTTTTGGAGAATTGAGTCAATGTATTTTTACATTTCTATTGGTCCGTCACAATATACTTATTATCCATTCGTTAGTTATTTTTGTTTTGTTTCGTTCTGTCAACTATAGTACTGCTTTCGGTGCTAAACAATTTGCGTTCCACGACAGTTCTTGTCGGACGACCGTAGTAAGTCGAGACTAAACTATATTAGTTTGACAAATCAGCGTAATAACAAACAGATTCCTTTTCTGTCTTGTGTTTATGTTGGTAAATGATTCAATATATTATAAGTGCTCGCTGAAATAAGTTATACAATATGAAGCGGGTGATTTACAGTTTGTTTATCTAGTCCCAGACGAATAAACTTGGTAGGTCAACATCTGGGTCAGTATTAGGCTCATTTATCTTTGATGATAGAATATACGACTTAATCCCAAAATCATAGGTTTGTCATGATGTGACTACCAAATATATAAGATCTTAAGTGGAAATAACATTACTGTCTATACTGGCTCGTCCTATCACGACAGTCAGTAATATTATGTGTAGGAATTCTGAAAAATATATTTGAACTTGGAATAGAATATATTTAGTATGTAAAACAGAGGATGGCTAGAGTGACCATGCCTGTATGATCAAGCCATGACATACTAATTAAATATCTCACGTCGATCATTTTTGACCTTTTCTAAGTGGCAAAAGTCAAATAATAACCTTTTCAGTTGAGAACCAGTGCCACTAAAGGTTCATAGTAGGTGAATATAGCTGTTAAGACTAGTTGTTGCCAACTCATTTATAATTACAATAGTGATCTTATTAGTCTACCATATCCAATGTAAAGAGAGATTTTAAGTCAACAAAGAGATAGAATAAGATGACGTCGATAACAGAACTTTCTAAACTCGCATTCCAAAGACGAACAAGAATGAATATGGCAGTGCGCGGAAAGAACAATGAAGGTGATAATAATTAGATGAATGTGAGTTTGATATGCTCCATAGAAATGAAAGATAAAAGTCCTATATGGGACTTATCAGGATTGGATTTAGATTCTAGCGGACTTCAAATTGCACCTGCTTTTCGTTGCTATGGAGAAATAGAATGTCATTTTTCTTCTTTTTATTTAATGTAAAAAATTCATCATTTTAAATTAAAAAATATAATGTTCAATTTGATGGTATGCAGATACCTTGTTTTATGTCTTACATGAAGTACTGAGCTACACAGCATGTGTAAAGCTGAATTATCGGCTGTCAAAAACCCATAGGGTGATAACCAGTGTATATTTCAGATGCAGCCCAAGAAGGTTTCAAGCTAAATCTCTTGAATTAGTTCTCACTAATACCATAGTCACTCATGTCAATTACACTCTGGAATATTACATCGCGTGAAAATGCAGCAGTTAGAGTGGCGATTGTCAACGAAGCAATAATGCAAAACATTCATGTATTTCGACAATTCATTACAGCTGCAGATTATGATATATGCTGGAAAATCTGTATCGCAACGCTTACAGTACATTACATGGATACATCAAAAAAGGTTAAATTCTTCTTGAATTGGCATTGTTTATAAAATCTGTTTTCTCTCTTGCTTCTTTAGCTTAAGTTCGCAAAATGACGGCTGAAGATGCAGATGATTATATGAAACATTACGTAAAAAAGTTAAGATCATAAATAAAAATCCTTGCAAGACACCGATTAATCCTTCCAGTATGACTTTTGGTTCGGTAGTCAAACGAATGAAATATAGAGTGATGATTTGTCGATAGACCATTCATACGAAACTATGTAAGTTTTAAATTGATAGTAAGCACATAGTTCCTAATTGATACAAGCTGCTTATCCAGTGGTTAATAAAACTGTTTTGAAACAAGGTACCCGCTACACAACACTATCAATACATAAATGGATTACAACATAATCCACAACATATGTAAATAATGTTATAAAAATCATGGCTGAGATGCACGGAATTTTACGAGACGGCGTAGTTGATGAGCTTTCTAAATACGATACTTCTGAAAATGTGTAACAAGTATTACAATAGGATAAGAGCACGAATGATATATGGCAGGCACAACGGGAATAATGTTAGTCTTTAAAAGCTAACGCCGTTTGCTTCCATCTCGAACTTAAGTATACAGTTAAAAATGCGTAAATTATTTTATTAGAATCCTTGTTTTTAGTATTTTATCCAATGTTTTCAACCTCCCTTAACTAATTGTCAAGCAACGTAATTGAACGGTAGTGATGGATTTCGAAGTCAATATACTTATTTAGTAAATTGTTGTCGCAAAAATATGGTGCTTATGAACCTACATCGCGTTGGCAACCAAACTACTGATAGTTTTACAAATGAGACTTTACAAGTGTTAAGTCCGTAAGTTACATGAATTCAATTCAGTAAATAATCAAATCACATCCTGGATTCTCAATTAACAACGAGTTAAAGGAAAAATTCCAGAAGTTCAGCAAGTGGATCTCTTTTCGACGAATTTATTATCAAGCTGTGCAACAGTGTTTATATGAACAACTATAGTGGCTTAGCATCATTAATCAATTATCCTTACAACCGTTATTATATTGTAGCGTGGTGTCGGGTCCCAGTTGACTATGAACACCACTACAAAAAACATGTGTCAAATAAATCAGAGGGCGAAGATTGAATGTAACCAGATTTATTCGTTGTCGATCTCGTGGTATCGAATGAATACCGAGATCGTGCCAAGAAAAGGTACAAGCGGAATCGGCAGGAGGAAGTACGTGCGAAAGGGGTCACGAGCCGCGAGCAGTAGTGGAGAATAATGGAAGAGCAATATGGCTGTCTTTAGCACTGTCAAACAAACGAGCACAGTAAAACAATCATTAGTATAACTGGTTATAATAACAATTGTTTTCATTAAACTAATCTCGTTCTCTTGATAAAAGTAGGTCACTACAATATAAACCCCAACAGTGTTTAAAATCACAAGGCAATAAGCGGAGGCAACTATAGTTTATTAGTGGGTAGCACGGATAACAAAGCTACAAGCACAGCGAGAGAATTTGAAGCGAAGAGGCGAATATGTGTATGCGAGCAATTACACAGGCAAATTTGCAGTCAAATCGAATAAAGCGCAGCAATGCAAGACAAAGGCTAATAATAAAATTCGAGTACATATACATGGAAAAGAGAATGACTCATCGAGCGATATTTATGATATTAAAATTTTTTAAAGAGAGGCTATCACATTCCCAAGCATACATTTTTATACAGACAAGATAGTGGTCACAATAGTCCAAACAATATGTGGACTGTTACTGTTTGAATAACATTGTCCGCTAAGCAGGTTATAAAAGGGCTTAACAAACTTTAACCATTATCGAAACTGATTGTAGGAGAGTTGCTATAGTACCTTCAGGTAATAATTCCATA